CATGGCGGTTACACATGTCTTCGACTTCATTACTTCTAAAAGCTCCTGCGGGATCGAGCCTAAGGCTCTGTGGAAGACCAAAGTATTGACACCAACCCTCATGAAAATATTGATTGAACATAGCAGCATTCATGGTTTTGTGTTTTCCTTTACACATGATTTTTCCAGTACGAAAACGAGACCCTTCATCGATAATCAACAGAAACTCAACATGTTCATGAGAACCAGGATGAATCCAGTGACCTCCATCAGCACTTACTGAAGAAAACTTTGGCGGCAGTGGTTCAAGTGTGGACATGTGCTTGTGTGCCACCTTATGTTTCTCTTGACATATGGAGCATGTGAACTCTTTTGCCAACTTCAAAACCTGTGCGCTGGCTCCCCTTTTCTGGAGAGCTTCTACCATGTGTCTCACATGCCCGTGACCCGAAGCTGCATGCAACTGATAGAGTTGTTTCTTGATTCTTTCATCCTCATTTTTGGGATCTTGGGGGGTTTGAACCATGGCATGACCATCACAACCCTTATCAACATCATCATGTTTCCCCGCATGAACCAAGAATTCAGATTCCACACATGACCCGCATTTTTGGTGGTTCCCATGACGCTTCAAGTCTTCACAAACACACATGGTACCTACGCCAAAACCCAGGACCAATTGGGGTTCCCCATTAAGTTCACCAACCAGCATCCCATGTGAAAGTTCCTGACACAGTGCCGTGGCCACCCGCTGTGCAAATTCCTTTGTATAGTAAGCCGATTGACCCGTCAGACTTCCCTCGCATTTTGCGTGTTCAACACTTTTGGGGCATCTACAGGGTAAATCCAACAACATGGACAATCTTTTGTGGGTGGTCATCACTTTCCAACCTTTGTGGGCCAACTTTTGGGTTTTGGGGTCCCGCAAATTAACTTGACATCCATTAACCACCACAATCCAGGGTTGGTACTTCTGTTGGATTTGTTGGATCATGGGAAGACGCCAAGCCAAACACTTTTGAGACCACTCCCAGCTCACATGACAACCCTTTTGGATGGCATAGTGCAAAACACAACTAGCCCCCACATATTGACGCAAAACTTCTTTCCTTTTCTCATCCAGCTGGGCTCGCTGGTCTTCAGTTCGCATATTCAAATTCTGAATTGGTGAATAGGGACCACACTCCGTCGAAATCCAAACATGCATGGGTTTCAGTTGATCAATCTTTTGAAGAAGAAGCTTGACCCCTTCATGAGTTCCCAAATCGAAATTGTTCCAATGGGAGCATCGGACTGCGGCCTCCGAGTAACCAGCCAGTTCTTGCACTGCGGCACTCAAACGACTATTAGGGCTACAAGCAACCTCTAATAAAACCGTTCTCTTCTCTTGGACAAGACCCTGAAAAATTTCGGGGGCAACCCTTTGAGATTGGAGTTCTAAGTGCCTGGCTGCTGACTCGCTGAGTGTTCTTCGACACCCCTCGGGGTCTGAAGACTCTTGAGAAACTAAGGTCTCTGACCATTCTAAGTCTGAGACTTGTCGACCCTCACAAAGCTGCCGTCGGAGTCCTTCTCCTTTTTCCGTGGGCGCTCTGACTTGAGCTCGTTCACCTCCTCCTTGAGTTCCTTCATGGTCTCCATGATGCTGGCCAATGCCTCCATGGTGGCACTGGAACTGGCACTGGCCTGACTGGCCGAGCTCTTGACGGCCTTCGCCTTGGGCATGATCTTGGGCTGTGGCTCTGAGTAGCCCTTCTGCATGGTCACCTCGTTGTTGGTGTTGTTGGGCTCGTGTTTCTGCATCTCGAGCCACCTCGCCAGCCGTGACAGCTGAGGAGAACACTGACCCTCCTGTGCTGTGACCATCACCCATTGGCAGTACTGGACATCCGAGAGGATCTCCGAGTAGGTGAGGCTTGATGCCTTCCCAAACCCCACCGGGTCGCTGCCATCGGGCTGTGTGGTCTGGTAGAGCTTGATCATGGCCAACCTCTGCAGCTGCGAGATGGTCTCTTGACCAGTCACTGGAATCTGAAGCTGGTCTCGACACCATTTCTGTAGCTCGAGCTTCTTGCGGCTGACCTGGTTGAGGAGGATAACTCCCTGACGTAGCTCGGTCTTCTGTTTCGTGCCGTAGGAGATGCCCTTCTCCTCGTACAGCTCCATCAGACGGTGACGCAACTCCGTCTTGCTCCACTTGGGTGGCGGCTGCTCTCCCATCTTCTCGAGAGCCTCCACCAGCTCCGCTCGGTTCATGCTGTTCGGCGTCATCGTGTGTGATGAGAACCGTGTGGCTGTCGCTTGAGCTGCTGAGTTGTGTGCTGCTGCATTGTTGAAAAACGAGGTGCTGATCATTCTCAAATTCACTGGAATGAGTGACCAAAACTTCACAACTATCAAAACTGTGAGACACCTGATCATCACCTGACACCTTCACACTATCAACATGTTGACCAACCGATTGTTCACAATGAGAAATCACGGGGTTTCCATCACAAGTGGTTTGACAAGCCTGACTCAAAAAGACCTCCCTTTCTCCTTCAGGCAAAGGATCAGAGAGGAGATGTCCCTAGACATGGTCATGGAGACTTGGAACCGGCGTTTGGCAGGTTCGAGCATGTTTGAAAAGGTCTTCGGTCAATGGCAAAAGCTGGTGGCCAGTGACTGAGCGCTCTAAGGGTATGACTTTTCTCGCATCTAAGCCTCTCAGCACCATCAAGTCGTGCTCGAAGTCAATCGTGGCCTTGAGCTTACGCAGGGTGTTGATGGAGATCAGAATTGGCCCTTGGCCCCGATCCAGCGCGTGAATTTCCAAAATTCCAGGTTTATTGTCAGCTGACACCTGGAGCTGGGTGGTGGACACGCAGGTGTCCGTGGTGGAATTGCCAAAACCGAAGGTGGGCTTGTTGTTCACATCAATCTTGGCAATGCGCTCGGTTCCGTACTTCTGCTTGTTGAGATCCATCACGGCCTGAATGGCCTCTACGGAGCCCAGGGTCTTGGTGGCTCCTCCATCGATCACTCCCAGTCCTGAGGTCATGGCTTCCAAAGTGGTCTTGCCATTCTTGGAGTCAGTGACAGCTAAGGCAGTCTCCTCCGTGAAGCAGACAAAAGGAGCCTCTTCGACGACATTGGCCCTGGGACGTTCGTCTCGGGGAGCATGCTTGTCAGGACATTCTGCCGTGCGATGGCCTTTGCCGCATCGCAGGCAGAGGTTGGCAGACACCTGGGAGTTGCTGCCAGTTGACGAAGAGCTCTGATTCACCACCGTCTTCTGGAAGGTGGGCTTGTAGTACTGCCTGTTCAAGCGCATCTGGTGTTGGCGGGCTCGTGCATCTCGCAGAGTCCTCTTTCCTTGTTGAATCAGTGCAAAAGCTCGTTGAGCTTCCTCCTCAGCTTCTCCATACAGGATCTGCCCTTCTTCGTTCATGTCGTGAACATGCCAGGCCTCCTTGTTGGAGGTCATCATTTCCATGTCGTCATCCATGTGGTAGATCTCATCGTTCCAGAAGCTGGTGTACTTGGCATTCTGATCACGCTGCTTCAGCTCATGGTCTGGCCATTGAAACCTGAGCTCCCTTGACACACGCTCCACACTGAAGTCCTCCTGGATGGCCGTCTGGACAAGGTTCTTCTCTGCCGATTCCAAACCGGCATCTTGCAGCAGATACCATCCTTGCAAGAACTCTGGCAAGAGCTCTTCAGTGTGAAGCTTCCAAGGTTCATCTTCAGGGTGAGCGTAAGACGAGGTGTTCCATTGGCTATAGGTGCTCCAATGGTCTGTCCAGCCTGAACCAGACTGGTGTTGGGAGCCATCCTCATCAGGATCTTCTCCATCATTCTCATTGGTGGCTGCTTCCTCGATCTCATCGTTGCCCATGTTGTGCTCGCCCTCATTGTTGTAGTTCCATTGCCCATCAGCTCCCCAGCCTCGCCGAGACCAATCTCGTTGATCCCAAGACCAGGTGTTCCGGCCCCAGTCACGTGGTGCTCGGTGCTGATAGTACCTCTGAACTCGGGACAAAGCTTGGCGGGCTCTGTGGTAGATCTCGACCTTCCGGGTTATGTAGTGGTTCATGGTCTCATAGCGCTTCCGCTTGCTGGCCCGGAAGTATCGACTCAGGTAGTCGGTCATCTCAGGGATGGTAGGTCTACCCAGGCAGCTTCTCAAGTGCTGCATGAGGTGACCTACTCCGCCACTATACGACAACCAGTCGGGCCTTTTTCCCATGACATGTTTCTTTGCCGGCCCTGACAACTCTCCTACCAACCTCGGTCCGCACAGGTACCTTTTGTGGTATACTATGCTCTGTTCCCACTGCATACACTGTTCCTCATATTCCTGGAAGGTGCTAGAGTCACCGTCCCACTGTGGGACTCCATCCTTCGACTTGGTCACACCTAAGGTGTTCATTGCGCAGTTGTTTCCTCAGCAGGCTCTGACGTGCTGAGTTCACTTCCCTGGATCCCTCTATTCAGAGGCTCAACGCTACCATTCAACTGCGAATGGTCCCTCAGAAAACAGTAGCAGGTGAAGCTCAAAGGTTCTCGGGAATATGGCTAGCAGCTATCCAAACAGATACGGCCCTGCAGTATCTAGCTCAGCTCTACAGCCTATTTTCCTTGGACAAGAACGACTACGATGGAAGCAGGTTCTGCCTTCATGAGTACAAGTGGTTTCACTTGCATATAGATATATATCCCATGACATATTTTCCCATCAAACGGTAAAATCATCTGCCAACCAAGCAATAAGACAGGTATCTCAAAGGCATCAACATTTATTTGATAGTTCATCCCAGTTAGTAAGTGGGTTTTAGCCCCAGTTACAAATGGGATGTTTGTAGGTCTGATCCACCTATAGCTAGGGTGAACTAACCCAGATACCAAGTGGGATGAACCACCAGTCGTATTATTTCACTAGTAACCATGATTCCAGACAATATTCCAATCACCAATCAACCATTCAATTTCCATGAAATCTACGGTGTTTTACCCTTTTTTGGTTGATCCCAGCCCAGGAATCAGCTGCCACGGCAAGAGCGCGAGACCTTCATGGGCCTCCTGCGCTTTCTGTCTCTGCCGGTGGATGATGTTTGGTTCTCCGCCATCCTGCTCATCTTGGTGAGGCGGGGTGGGGAACGGATGGGAAAGGATGGGAAAGGTGGGGGGGCGGGCAGGTTGGTGTTTCTCGTCTGTCAGATTTAGACTGCTATCAGCTGTTTCAGTGCTTTGGCTTCACTTTAGAACATGGTTTTGGTGAAACGACACTTTGCGGTCAGCTTTCCGTGCCTGAATCACAAACAGATGGTTTCAATCCTCGTCATTTGAAGTGGGAAAGTGGCTGGTTTCACTACTGAGAGCTGACCGTTTGGTTCAATCTCCCAAAATCTCATGGGAAACCGGATTTTGTGAAGGAGATCTAGGTTACGATTGCTAGTTGTTTTTTCTCTGTTCTAGTTTAATCCTTGAATGTCACTCAACATGAGTGTTGTGACTTCAAAGATAACTTTATTGATATCCAACTGTCCCCGCAAGGATATGAAAGAAATGGCCTTCGTCATGATAGTCATGATATATGATTGTCGTCCATCTTCCGGCCTAACTTCCATCATGTCGAAAACCGCAGGTTTCGATTGGTGAAGAAACTGGTGATGGCCAGTCAGCACTGGCGGCGTTGGCTCACCACCTACTGCCGCAGGCTAGCCGTGATGCGCCATTTGCAGGGTCACGGCTGATGGACGCCAAGAATGCATAGTTTCAAATTACAATAACCATTGGTAACCATCATTATTGTATAGTAACCATCATTTAAATCAATTCAAATTTCATTTTAGGATTGAAAAATAACCACTTTGGGTTTCTGTCACCCAAATGACCCGTATGTATGGTGAACCCCCCCAATGACCATGGGTCAAATGGTCAAAGCGCTGCCAAATAGCCATCCTTGAGCTCTATCCGGCGGAATTGATGTGGATAGAGCACAGATGTTCCATGTTTCACCGGCGCCATGGATGTTTCAAAGCCTTCTATCCACTGAAGACAAGACTTTGTGATTAGTCAGAATTGGCTGCCCCACATGGATGGACGCTGATTTTGGTACTGCTTACAGCATTACAGAAAAAAAACATAAAATGCCGAGCAACTTGTGGTTGAGATTGGCTTTTTCTCGACCAATCTCCGTTCTTTAGCTGCTGGGTTCACCACCGAGCAGGCGACATCTCTGTATTTTGCAGCTTAGTCGTCCATTTTTGGCTCCATCTGGGTCTGAACATAGGCGACTCCTTAACCCACTGGTGAAGCCTTTTGTCCCTATTTTTCCAGCTGTTCGTCATGATTTTCCCCACTGTAACAGCGCCACGTGACGGGGCTTTTTCATGGGCTATCCATCCTCGCTTTGTTTTCAGGCTCCGAAGTCAGGAGGATCGTTCCCTGTTGATCGAAGCCCTAGACACCAATCAGGTGCTCCCTCGCCCTGGGGCCCTGGGGTGAGGATTGGGCAGCAGATATGTTTTATGAGTCCACAAAAAAAGCAGGCGGGCTGTGCTAACTTTCTGGATTTCTGCCAAGAGAAATGGGGAAAGCATACATCTATGATGGGCGATCAGCACCAGATTCTTCACTTCGTGATCGGAGTTGATTGGCGCAATTTTTGGCAGAAAAAGGGGAAGTATAGTTTAGGTGCTGGAAATGTATGGAAATGTAAAGCATCTACCTTCCGGTAACATGGCTGGCAAATCCCCCAAACACCCACGGATCCGTATCGAAAAAGTCTTGGCTTGGGGTTGATACTGTATCCATGACTGGTTTCATTGGTCCGAAAATGGGGATACTCAAAAATGGTCGTCTGCTGATCAAGATCTGGGGGACCCAGGATGGTGGCTTAACCACCCAGCTTGAATCCTAGGGTTTCACAAAAAGGGCACCTCTTTCCCCATTGTGGGCTGTTAATCGCCAAAATTTTCCTTCCCATTATTTTCATAATAAAAAAACAAATCCGAATCCTAATGTTTGTCTAACCATTTCCATGAGAATTTCTTGCGGAATGAGCCTTTCACGGCAGGTCTTGCAGAAGACGATTCGTCTTTCAGGCGCCTCAAAGAACATGCATTTTTTTTGCATGGGGATGACACCAACTATTTGATAAGGACATTTTTTGGGACGCAAGAGAGATAAGTCACCAACACTATCTTTAGCAGTAGAAAAGGAGATTTAAGCCCTTTTTGTGTGGAACTAATTCGTTTGGGATTGATTTTGTGGCTCTTTTAAGGGATATATGACCAACAATATGAGCTTTGTCCAGTGAAATGGGTTGGATTTCAAAGGTGCGAGGTCTGGGTGAAAAGGCGTCAATGAGATTTCAGTCTACATTAGAGTTTAAACCATAAAACTATGGTTTTTCAACGATTAAAACTATGGGGATATCATTGACAATAAACCTACCTGGTTATTAAGCTACCTCGTTATTAGGGATAATGAACGACATAAGACACATAGTAGGGATACCAATCAACCACAATTGGATAGGGCTATTCTTCGTATGACACAGTGACTGCTGACCTGGTTGGACACTGTGGCACGAGGGTGAGGCATAGCCCCAGCAATTCCAGGTCTTCCAGGTCTAAGCATCTGTGATCCAGTGGTTTTTATCATAACTTTTTATCCCCCATTGGTATCCATCAAAATAGCCTTATAGCTGGTGGTTCAATCCAGCATTTTTGCTGGTTAGTCGGTTAAATCCAATTTTATGAACTGGTTAAATCATTTTTTCGGTTAAATCATTTTTTCGGTTAAATCATCAAACCTTCATTGTATCACCATTACGCTGTCATGATACCTGATTAGATGGACGTTCTACGCCCCAACATGTAATTTCATAAATCGATGGATTAATCATGCATTTTCCCATGGATATATCACATATTATATCCACTGTTTACATCAAAAAATCTGTACCTCCCCGTTGGTTGATGCGAGGTTTCTCCAACCCAATTTCCTGACCATTCAGGTGGCGGCTTCTTGAGACAGGGCGCACGCCTGGTGTCCCCAGCCTACGTGGGAGACACGCTGGAATTAGGCAGACGGAAGGGGTTCCGCATGGAAGTTTGCGGAAGGACTTGGTGGCTGAAAAGTGAAAGTCCAACAACTGGGGGTTGATATCCCAAATCCGCGATTTTTTGGGATATAGTGGGGATTTCACCAGCAACAATAACAAAATTTCAAGCAACAGCAATGGGATTGGGGATATAGTCAGAGGAGGACTGCGAGGAGGAAGAAGAGGAGGAGGAGGAGGGAGATGCGGGATGTATTGTTAAAATCTAGAGACCCTTGCATGGCAGGCGGGGAAAAATCGTCACGATTTAGCATGTACATCAATGCCTTATGTGATGGAAAAATACTTTCGCACAGCCAAGGAATGGATCTTACTTATTGTTTTCTGATGTTTCGCTTTTGCATGATTGGTACGCCAATTTGCGGACTTGTTTCAAATGATCGAATAAGTCACGGAGGGCGCAAAAGCATTGTTTTTACATTGATACCTGATTGCAGAGGCAGAGTTTGAGTGTCTTTTCTACTTGACAAAAAATAACAATGTCAATGCATTTTCCCGCGCAAACGTATTCACAAAACCAAGGCTCCGAAAACAACATTTCGGCTGTGGGGTGGTCCCAAACATGGGACAATAACTAATCTCATCTCAACAGGGGAACATGATTTTTGTTCGAAAAAAACTATCCAATAGGGAGACACATTTTTCAGACGGCATTCTTGGGAGTTCCATTTATTCTGAAGGGTATAAAGCATTGGATTTTGGGTTGGCCCAAAGAAAGTTGGACAGGTGGCTTTGAGAACATGGCGCTCAATACTGAGTTGCTTGGCTATGTGGTGGCTTCGGTGTGGCGTTGCAGTGACCACGTTCGCAAAAAAAATAACATGGACACCCCAAATTATGGGATTTGGAGAATTATTTTTCTGTTGTTTTTTTGTTTTTTCCCCAGATAGCAAGCTATAGGGGTTCTTACTTCTCATAGGTCAGGTCTTCGGCGGCGAACTTTTCAGCCTCCTACTCCACAGGGTACTGTGCAGGCTGCTGTTCAGAGTGCGGTGGCGAAGTCTGGCAAACGTGCTGTGGAGGGTGCTGTCGAGAGCGTGGTGGCGAAGTTTGGCAAAGGTGCTGCGCAAAGTGTTGTCCCAAATGCTGTGGCGAAGCAGGGCGCGTCTTTGGTCATGATGTGCAGGGTGCTGCCCAGGGCGCGGTGGCAAAGTTTGGCAAGGGTGCTGTGGTCTGGCAAAGGTGCTGTGCAAGGTGCTGTCCACAGTTCGGTGGCGAAGTTTGGCAAGGTGCTGTGAGGGCTGCTGTCCCCGCGCCAGGCTTGCCAAGAATGGCATCCAGAAGTGGGGTACGATCCCACGTATAGAGGTGACAACGATTTGTACCTCTGTCGGTGCCTTGGTGTTGCGTCTCGTCCTCCGGCGGTTGTTTCCTGCTGCTTCTCTTCAGACATCTCCTATGCTCTGTACCGGAACCTGCCCGTTGTTGGGAAGGGGGGGCGCCGTGCCCGCGCCTTAGTTTGGACCAGGTGTTGGCTTGACCACGTCGTTTTGGTTGACATGGATCTTCTTCACACGCTCTGCCACCGTCGGCTGACCGAGGAGGAACATGAGGGTGACGACGCCGAGTCCGTCCTCATCTCGGCCGACGCCTTAGTGGAGCGCGCCCCAAACGCGACGAAGGATTAACAGGGAAAAGGGGGAGAAACAAGAACGACGGAAAGATGAACAGATGAAAGAGAGAGAGAGAGAGAGAGCGAGAGAAAGAGAGAGAGAGAGAGAGGGAGAGAGAGAGAGAGGGAGAGAGGGAGAGAAAGAGGAGAAAGAGAGAGAAAGGAAAGAGAGAAAGGAAAGAGGAGAAAGAGAGAAAGAAAAGAGAGAAAGGAAAGAGGGAAAGGAAAGAGAGAAAGGAGAGAGAGACGGATAGAAACAAACATCTGCGCAAATCATTTGCGGTATATGCGCCGTCTTGGTTTCTTGTCCCCCGCTTACCCCAAGGTCGGCACAGAGGTGTCGTTCAGCTCCATCGATCGACACGGAGGACTCGGAGGTGCTGGACGAACCGTGCCCGGCGCCGGCCTTAGCCCCTGTGGCGCGCACGCATCCCTGTTTTCCCATGACTTTCGCCCGTCGACATGCGCTTGCAGGAGGATCTCATCCCCCAAGCGCACTGCGTGGATGGCAGAGGCAAGCGAGACGATGCCCCGGCTGATCGGCTGATCACCCCTGCAAGATCCTCCGGGACATGGACAGCCCGCTGGCTTTTCTGGAGCTCAGCGATGGCACGCGTTGGCACTTCAACAGCCGCATATAGCTTCTTTGGACTGCACGCTTTCATCACGCCGGTCTTTCGGCCACTGCTTTCAGGCTACGTCGACCCTAAGACCCTGGTGGTCGGTGATGCTGCCAGGGGGGTACTGGGTTGGGGAGGATGAGTTCCTCTAGGTGGTCATATATTAGCGATTGATATTTCAACGGAGCAAAGTTGCAAACACACCAAAACATAGAGATTGGACATCACACAGTACTCATATATTCTATGTGTCGGTAGACGCCATGCGTGTATATATACATATAAATATGTATATAATTAAAAATATAATTTGATATAATATGATATTCGAAGGAAGTTTAGAAGTCAAACTTCCGACAATATGGACAGATGAAAAGCAGAGATGGGCAGAGGCAGAGAGAAGAGAAGAGTAGAAGAGAGAAGATCAGAGAAGAGAAAGAGTCAGAAGAAAGAAGATGCAGATGCGCGAAAAGGTAGGAAAGTCGCGAAACACTGTGTTTTCCCAATGATTTGTGGCTCCGGAGGATCGAAAAGTAGGCTCGCTAAAGCGGCGGGTGCAGAGCCATCTGGCCAGATGAGAGATGAAAAAGTGCACGCCGCTGTGGCGCGAAGCACATTTCGAAGTCAAAATGTTAAAACACCAGGGGTTCGGACCACTTTTGGAAGTTGAGATGTCGAAAAAGTGCACGCCGTTGTGGCGCGAAGTACATTTCGAAGTCAAAATGTTAAAAACACCAGGGGTTCGGACACTTTTGGAAAGTGAGATGTCGAAAAAGTGCACGCCGTTGTGGCGCGAAGCACATTTCCAAGTCAACATGTTAAAAAAAACCAGGGGTTTGGACCCACGCAGCTCCGGACCAGGAAGCGACACAGAGCGACAGGACTCAGTACAGGCGGCGTGCCCAGGCCCAGTTTGTACAGCCTGGCAAAGGACCAGCAACCGGAGTTGAGAGCAGCCAAAATAGTCGATCGGGCCCGGGTGGGATCCGGTAGTGACCCTTGCAGGGCTCCGCCCGCCACTGCCACCCCTTCCGGGCACTGCCCGTGCTCACCCGACCCTTCCCCTTGCTGGGCTTCGCCCCACCCGGCCCCAGCCCCGTCCCCCTTGCCCCCAACTTCACACACCCTTGGCCCGACCCCCACCCCCCGACCCGCGACTGCACCAAGCTTCACGCTTGCCAAGCAAAGTGAAGGTGGATGTTGTGAAGTGCCACGCCTGCCACGCAAAACGCAGGTGGATGTCGCCAAGCGCCACACCTGCCACGCAAAGTGAAGGTGGATGTCGTGAAGTGCCACGCCTGCCACGCAAAGTGCCGCGGCGCCACGGGCGACCAACGGCGACCAAGCGCGCCACCGGAGCCAGCACAGTGTCATAAGCGCCATGCCTGCCACGCAAAGTGCAGGTAGATGTCGCCAAGTGCCACGCCTGCCACGCAAAGTAGATGGTGTGTGTGAAAGATGGTGTGTGACAAAGTTGTGTGTGAAAGATGGTGTGTGACCAAGTTGTGTGTGAAAGAGAGTGTGTGACAAAGTTGCGTGTTAAAGAGAGTGTGTGACAAAGTTGTGTGTGAAAGAGAGTGTGTGACAAAGTTGTGTGTGAAAGATGGTGTGTGACCAAGTTGTGTGTGAAAGAGAGTGTGTGACAAAGTTGTGTGTTAAAGAGAGTGTGTGACAAAGTTGTGTGTGAAAGAGATTGTGTGACAAAGGTGTGTGTGAAAGAGATTGTGTGACAAAGTTGTGTGTGAAAGATGGTGTGTGACAAAGTTGTGTGTTAAAGAGAGTGTGTGACAAAGTTGTGTGTGAAAGAGAGTGTGTGACAAAGTTGTGTGTGAAAGATGGTGTGTGACCAAGTTGTGTGTGAAAGAGAGTGTGTGACAAAGTCGTGTGTTAAAGAGAGTGTGTGACAAAGTTGTGTGTGAAAGAGATTGTGTGACAAAGTTGTGTGTGAAAGAGATTGTGTGACAAAGTTGTGTGTGAAAGAGAGTGTGTGACAAAGTTGTGTGTGAAAGATGGTGTGTGACAAAGTTGTGTGTGAAAGATGGTGTGTGCAAAAGGGTGTGCTTTGTTTCGCTTAATGGGCCGGCAAAGATTTTCTTGCATAGTGCACTTTTCTCCCGCTTCATTTCGTGGACTGAAAGGAAAACTTTTTACGCGGAACGAGACGCGTTTGTTTTGCGTTTTATGAGCATGTGTTTGCGCATTACAGGTGCTTTCTGGAGCGACATGAAGAAAAATTGTGTATAAGGGTTTGCTTTGTTTTGCTTAGTGGGCCGGAATGAAAAAAACATGTGTTGATTAGACCGGCATGAAAACTTGGTGTAACCAGAATAGCGCTTTGTTTTGCGTAATGGGCCGGAGCAAGACTGTGTTTGTGTTTCGAAGAACCGCCCGTTCCCAAAGGTTAGAACTCATGCTCCCACAACCTTGGAACCATGGGTTCCCATGTCGAGGAGCTGCAGGTTCCCCAGGGTTGGAACCCATGCTTCCCAACCTTGGAACCACGGGCTTCCAGTGCCAAGAATTGTGGGTTTGGATGGGTTGGAAGTTCTGCGTGCAGTTGAACATTGACTTGTGTACTAGCGTCCTTGTGTTTTGCTTAATTGGCTGGGAACAAAATGTTTTTGTACGGGTTTTTGGTTGAATGAATGGAAACAGCCGTTGTTCTGCCTAATTGGCAGGTATCAAAATGTGTTTGTGCAGAACCATTGCGTACTAGACCGGCATGAAAACATGTTGTGTAAAAGGATTCCCTTTGTTTTTCTTAATAGGCCGGAATACATGGGTTTGAGAAGTACAACGTTCCCATGTTTTTCATGGATCCACTTGAAAAACATCTTGCGTTGAACGGGCAATTATTTTATTGTGCTTAATGGGCAGGGATGACATGGCACTTCTAGAGAACAACAACCCTTGGTTTCTCTGAAACCTCTCTATCTGGAATTTAATGCCGGTGTAATTTTTGGGGACTGCATGTTGAGGGAGTGTAACATGTGTAAGTGGATAGAGGTCACATCCTAAATTTGCAACGATGCAAATATAGATATTGGTGGGTTACGGCAAAAATTGCGTTTCTTGAGTTTACCCTCCTACTGCCGAAATATGACCCATGGCCGACCAATCAGAGCATCTCTGCTAGCGGGGGTACCCGATTTTGATCCATGCTTCATTTTTCTTGTAAGTTTCGTTTTGTTTCTGGACATAGGGATTTCCAAAAAGCAGGACATGGAAAACACCGAAAATGATAGGTTTATAATTCCGCTTTTCGGAACCGCTGCACTTAAATATATATATATATATGACATATATATATATATGATAGTCTTATGGTTTCTTAGGTCTAAACAATTCACCAACTCCATTAGACCGCCGTGGTCGTCCAAGGTTTGTGCTCTGCAAGGCCGAAGGGTTGCAACATGGCAAACCCGTCTTCCAGTCGCGCAACAAGGCGTTTCCGATCCCGGTTTTTGGAACCATATTTTACTGGGAGATTATAGATGATTATATATATTTGAATATATATATACATATAGTGGTTGTTTTTATGATTTATGTTAAATAGATATTACAGATAATTATATGGTTATGGGTGAAAACCCGGATACCGTGGGTACCCTAAAATAAGTGGCTAATGGATGTTGACTCCCTCAAATATGGTAATAATGGGTTTGACCCATACCCATCTATAATGTGAATAGTGGGAGATATCATCTGGGTAAATAATAACGACCCAAGCCTGCGACCTAACGGGAATGATGGGAATTGGATTGGGGTAACTCTCCCAATAGCCTTGCAATGGGATATATGGGGGTTTCTTAAAATTCAAAATCCCCAAGACCTGGATTTCAAGACTAAAATGATCTGTCTGACTTGGATGATGATTTGGGGGTACCCCCATGACTTGGGAAACCGCCCTATATTATATCCACAAATAGTTGGATGCGTTCTTTTGTCAAGTCTTTTAGGGTTAAAACCACTCCAAGACCTTCGGGATCCAGGAGTTCATGCTGAGTTCCGCCGTCACGGATCAGGGAAAGGTGTGGATTGCTTCTCGGCCACCGTTTTTTTTTGGCACCATTTCCAGCATCCGTTTTTCAAATGGGATGCTTTTGGGACTGCAGAATTTTTGCTCAATGTGCTGAAATGATGTCCTCCAATCGTCCCAACTCCAGCGAATCAACATTTTCAAATTCCTTCCATGTTTGCGTTTGATGTGATCATTTCAGCATCATCCTACCTGTCCATCTATGCCACGAAAACAGAGAATTTGCTGCCTGAGGTGAGCCCTGATGAGAAGTTTCAGCAGACCAAGAACCAGGGCAGCCCCGAAGGCGGTGCAGCGCGGCGGGGTCGCTTTCGTTGGTGTTGGTGTTGCTTGTGGAATCATCAGCTCACTTCTGTTTGCAACAATAGGTCAGTTGTGGTAGTTTGGATCTTGACTTATCCGTATGCATGATATCCTGTGTGACTTTTGGAGGTGCGAGCAGCTGATAGGGGTTCTTCCAGGAAAAAAAACACAATGTACTGACCCCCCAAAAAGATTGGAAACCAATTTACCCTCTGGTTATTTGTTACATAGCCATGGTTTTTCGATGGCCCATTTTTAGATGGCTTACCGTTCTTAATAGCATGGTCGATCTTTCCATGGCAACCTTTGGGGCTCGAGCTACACCAAAGAGATAGAAACGTCATCTACTCATCTACCACTAGTTTACGACGATTTTGGTCGGATTTGGCAGTGTGTCAAAACCTTGTACCCCTGGTGAACATCAAAATAGCTGGTAAATGGATGTTCATCCCCCTAAAAAAGGTATTAATAGGTATTGATCCATACCCATTTCACTTTTTCCATCTTTTTGTTTTCTTTTTGGGGCTTGCTACAGCCCATTGAAAAAAAACGGCCTTCTCGATCGCAGGTTGGCCTCTGAAGCGCTTTGGAGCGCTGCTAGTGTCCCCTGTGGATGCGCACCTACTGGAAGCTCCCCAACTGAATTGGCAGGAGCCTGGGAGCGAGCGATTTGGGTCGGCTCATATTCACAAAAAATCCAGGGAGCCAGTTTATGAATTGAGTTCTCCGGCTAATAGTACATGTAATATGAATGTATTGTGTATTATATAATATATTATTATTATTATTTATTATTATTATTATATATATATATTATACTATATATATACATATATATGTCAAAATCATCGAAGTAAGTATAGCTGCAATTTTCCAGCCTAAGCTGACACCGGCGTCCGGTAAGTGGGTAATAACCATATGATCGCCCAGGGATATGTGAAATAGCCCATTTATGGCTGAACAAAGAAAGACTTCCTGGGATGCACATCCAAGTAGGTGTGTCTGAAGTTATGGGTTGGGTATAACTTGAAGTTATGGCCATCAAACGATTGGGAATGTGTTGATACACATGAAGTTTGGGGTATATAATTTACAGCTTGAAGTTATGGCCATCAAAAAGTGGAGAAACCATGATTTTCCAACACCCCTATGTTTTTTTTGCTGACCTTTGCAGTTCTTTTTTTGAATTGGCTGATGATTGTTAATTTTGAGCTCAACAAAATGGACACACATATATATATATATACATATATGTACATATATATATATACATGTATATATATATACACATATATATATACATATATATATATACACATATATATATACATATATATATACATATTTACATATTTGTGGTTGTGTAGTTGGTAGTAATATCGAAGATCGGCCCTTCGGGAGTCAAGGGCACCATGTGGGTGTTAGGGTTGAGACTCACATGTGCCAAGGAGCCGATAAAAAAGGCCAGTTCTATCGACCTTTGGGTGCAACAAAAACATACAAAAACTAGATCCAGTTTCTCAGTTTTTTTTGATACATCAGCCACTATATGACTATATTCTCACCATATCCATGAAACAATCAATCACCAATCGTTGGTGGAATCCGCGTTTGCTTGACCCTTATTATCCAGTTGTGGTTTATAGATTTTGTTCATTGTTGGTTAAATATCCCATGATTTCCGAGGTCAACCAATTGTTGACTGGAATAACCATTGATCACCATGACTTTTGGGAAAAAAACACCCTGATTTCACCAGGAGCTGACAGAGTCGGGAAAGTGGATTCTGCAGAAGAACGCGGGACTCGTCAAGCAGCTGGGCAAGGCAACACATGTTTTACTCATTGGGTTACAAGCCATGATCCAGTTGGAAGGGACCAGTTGATGTGTGGGTCAGATGGATGGAATCCCCTGCTGTTCACAGCAAAATAGCTGGAAATTCTGGAAATTCTCAACCCCCCAAAATATGGAATACGCTGGTTTTGTCCATCTCCACATGTGAGATATGGAGGATGAGGATCATGATGGTGATAGTGATAGTGATGGTGATGGTGATGATGATGATGAAAGATAATGGTGGAGATGTTCAGCAACAGAAATGCTGATTGTGGATTCAAGCGACAAGAGCGTGGATTTAGGGAACAAAAACCGAGACCGCCGAAGCACCAAGAAACAGATGGGAATGCGCACCAATGAAGTCTATTACCAAAGCAAAAAAGTGCAACGGTGGGAATTTGGATATTCACAGTGATCAATCCACTTATATCCATCGCAGTGGCACATATCATATTTTTTGGACTTCAAACACCGCAACATAATCAACAACATTTGGAAGATACACCCTTCTTTCGGAGATCGCAATATGGCCAAAAAGTATGTAATCTTGGGATGTGGCCTAAAACCTAGCTTTGGGCGAGCAGTTTTGACCCATTGCTATATGGGTGCGACACGATCTTTTTGACCGCTTGTAAAGTGCAGATCAGCTTGCCGTTTGCAAGGTCTGTTCAACCTGCGTGCCAATAGTTCAGTTCAACACCAGTCTCAGACACAGGTTTTTCTTTCAAATGAAGAATCTACACTCCGGCAATCAAACTGGGTGCTGCAAAATCTCCCATTGAATTGATAGTTGATTTTCCCATTTAAACTTTCATTTGTTTTAGGGATTTCCCATTGCCACCGGTATTCGGCGGTGGGTTTGAAATAGCAAGATCAATATCGTTCCCCTTGGACGTACCGACGACATCAACATTGATATGGCAATGATTATTTGTGCCCAAACATGGTCACCCAGTATGTCTCAAATATGGAAAAATACCATGATATACCCATCAATGCGTCTACCAATATCAATCTTCATACACATATTAATGATCCATAAGTATTAAAAACCCATAAAGATATCCATTGTCCATTGTTATTATTATTATTATTGTAATTTATTATAGATGTCAATAAAATTACTCCGGTGGATTGCCAATTCATCTCAGATTCGGTGTTTAAACCTTGAGGATCCGGCGCCCGGCGCTTCCTTTGCAGGCAATTTTTTTAATCGCCGTAGTTGGAGGAGGTTGCCAACTTATGGCGTTGTATAACCATGGTTATACCATGGTTATACCCAAGTAATCAGATGTTTTTTGGTACACCCTGAGGTATTTTTTGTGTGTAAACTTGTGTCAACCCATGATTTTTGATGTTGACATGGCAGCTTTTGGTAGTTTTTGAGGGTTTTTCAGCTTTCATATCATAGGCTTGGGGTCTAGTTGATTCATTGGGATGATGGACATTTTTCCAGTCGTGTCAGGTCTAGGGGACACCATCTTTGAACATGTTTGAACCATTTTATCTTTAATCACTTTAATCTGGCAAGAAATATAAGAAATGAAGATTTTGACAAACTTGAGCATACTAATATGTGTTTTGTTTGGAGCCAGAGGTGCTCCGTGAATTTTCAGACCGCAGAGTCAGCAGAGTCCGTGAATTTCATGTCGACGTCAACCAAGACCTGGGATGAAAAATTCTTGGGATCACCAAAGGCTGTCCAAATATGATTTGTTTCAAACATGGTTGTGTCTGAACATGTGGTAAACATACACACACATATATATATATATTATATATTATATATATATTATATATATATTATATATATTATATATATATATATATTATATATATATAATATGTATATATTTGTATGTATCTCAAGTGGCAATGAGTTTAATGAGGAAAACGATGATTCACTACTAGATTTTGAGGTCTTCCCTTAAGCCAACTTCGCAGGGCGAAGCCACCAGTTACTGTATCCCATTCAAATGGTATCCTAAAATAGAGGTTTTCCTAAAATGGGGGATCATCCAATTTATCCATATTTTATCCATTTTCATCAGATTTTCCATCATAACCATCCAGCTATTGGCCTGGAAAGCCATGGTTTCAGCCATGGTTTCAGCCATGGTTTCAGCCATGGTTTCAGCCATGGTTTCAGCCATGGTGCAATGGTAACCCCTTGGTGAATTTTTCCAGGTGCGGGTGATGCCTCCAACAGCCCCGAGCATCGTCGACTACAGCGACTCTTACGTTCAGGTCGTTGGCCGCCGATTCCGGGAGATAATCCCTATGGTAAATTAACAGTTGGACCCTGAAAACAGCCAATTTTTACTGGAAACTAGTATGAACCAACCCCTGTCTGCCAGGGACTATGTTAGTTTACTGGAGGCTAATCCCGATGGATTTTCGGGGAATTTTCTATCTCGCTATGTGAATTATCTATGGTAAACATAGCTATCATAAATAATTTACAATAGCAGCCTGGTATGTTTTTATCAACTTTAAACATAGCTTCATTCTATGGTTAACTACTGTATCTATGGCAATCATTTGTTTCAATAGCTGTGGTAAACATTGGCTATGTTCAGGGTCACACTGTTAATTTACTGGAGAGTAAACTGTTAACAATGCGGGTGTACATGGGGTATGGACCCCACAGATGGCAAGTTTAAGAGGGACAATGCTGATTCAGTAATGCCAGACAATCCCAAAAACAGTTTTGAACAGCTGGACACCTGGAAATTGTTGCTGAAACAACCGGTATTGCCTTAAGTGGAATTATTACCCTTATAATTGGGACTTAGTTCCAGTTTTATCACAAGTTGCAAAGTGGGAGGATCCTCGACGTATAGGGCAACATTTCGAAGATCTGTAGTGTTTCCATAACATTAGGAACATTTGGGAAGGCCAATGTCGACAAAAACATGAGTTTTTCATACTTTCAGTTTCTGCTTTCCACATGAAGCACTTACCCTCCGGCAATCAAACGTGGCGTACGGGAAAATCTCATATTCATTTTTAATTTTCCCATTGAAACCTCAATTTATAGCGGATTTCCAATTGCTATCTTTGATTGCCAGAGGGTACTTGATCAGTATTTGTGTGGTGTTTTGATTAGGGGCCCCTGTACATGCCATGGGAGCCTAGCACAAGAGAGATTGAAACCCTGTCTGAGGAAGCTGCACCAGACTCCGTCACTGGCAAATGTTTCTCAACTGTCGACCCAATGCAGATTTATTTTTTGTGGATCTCCCAAAAGAGCTCCAAACCAGCTTTGGAAGATAAATTTAGTTTCAGTATTCCAGGTATTTCCAATATGGGTATGGATCAATACCTATACATACCATTTTTAGGGGGATGAACATCCATCTACCAGCTATTTTGATGTTCACCAGGGGGATAGGGTTTTGACCCATCCCCATATTTTTCAATAATGATGATGTTTGAGGATTTCACTAGTGGTCATTTGCCAAGCTGGACAAGGGGCCCGTCACGTGGAGGCTATGGAGAGCCCCCTGGTGGTCTGGGCCACTTTCTTTCTGATCTTAGAAGTGATTCAATTCTTCTTTCTGCACAAGGCTTCCACGAAGTCACTTTCCAACAGGCCAAGGGGTGCTTATGGTTTCTTTCCAGGTATCAATGGAAAATTATCGGGATATATGTGTGACATAGCCATGCAGGCATGGGAGGCTTGCAGTGACAACATTCTCTATTTTTCATAGCTAAATTCAATCAGTTTTTTTTTTTGTGGTGAAATGTCCGTTGCTAAAAAACATGATTGTTGGTACCCCAATGACACGATATTCATTGGATGAGTAGCGATTGTTGATAGTTCAATCCCATGGTGTCATTTTGGGCTCCATGAATCCCATGAAAATAACGACTGATCATGGCACATGCCCCAATTTCTGGCCTTAATTTGACAGGATCATCCATTGAAATCAATATCAATTGCATGTTTTTGGCTTCGATTTTACTGCAAAACCTGGTTTTTGATCATGTTTCATCCCAAAAAAATAATCCAATTGACCTGAAATTCTCAATTTTTGATGGTTAAACGGTTAAATTTGCTGATTTTATCCTGACCTCGTGGCAGGATCATCAAGTTCATGTCCCGGTTGCGGTGGCTCCTGACCTCCACCTGCGCCTGCCTGGCTCTTTTCCGTCTCTCCTCGCGCTGGAAAGAACGCCGCAGCCGTGGCAAGGCGACACAGTCCCTGGGAAGGTCAGCAAAATATTGCTATGAACACATTGATATTTTATCAATCTGGTTGGTGGTGACTGGAACATGGTTAATCTATGGTTAATCTATGGTTAATAATGGTTAATAATGGTTAATAATTGGAATAACATTATATCTGGTTGGTGGTGACTGGAACAATAATAGTGGTTTCCCAATATAGTGGTTAATAGTGGTGAATAGTGGTTAATGAAATATCTGTTTGGTGGTTTGGAACATGGCTTTTATGACTTTCCATATGTTGGGAATGTCATCATCCCAACTGACTTTCATATTTTTCAGAGGGGTTGAAACCACCAACCAGCAATAGTTTATCATATGATATAAACATTGATAAATCAATGTGGATATCCTTGATATCAACATTGATAAACGATAGCTGATACAGTTGATCATCCCCAATCAACAGGATGGGGCCCCATGGTTAGCTAAGTTGGCATATAACTATAATAACTAGGGCCAGGGTTTATGGAGGATTATAACGAACTAGTTCCTATATGTTCCTATTGGTGTATAAACAAACTTATAACTGGATTATCTGGCACCATCGCCAGTAGAGCAAATTTTCTCCCCATGCCATGAAAACAGCCGTGAACCGCGGTCGCCTCCGACCTCCGCGGTCGAGTCGATCCGCGAGGCCGTGATCTCGGACGTCTTGGGGGTGCAGAGCTCGCAGCGCGAGGCGAGACTGAGCGCCCTGACGATTTTGATGCAGACCTTCGTGGTGTGCAGCTGGTGCCGAACGGGAACGGGTGATCAGCGGATGGGGTAGCCGCGGGTAGCCATTTCTGGTGGGAGAATACTGGGGATAGAATGAATAGATAGCAGATTATGGAAAGAATCTAGATATATCTAGATGATTTCGCAGAAGATGTTGATTCGACTCGGTATCTTCGAGATATTCAATGATGATTTTGGATGAACATCATCATGGTCACTCCATTCAGCAAACAAAAAAAAAATGCTTGTAAACAGTGGCAAATGATGGCAAGTGTTAGTAAATGGATGCGGGTACAACGAAGCGGCCCCTTTATTTTCAGAGACACTATTGATCCCAGTGAATCAACGCCGGAAGGGAGATACAACCCCGGTATCAACTTAGTAAAAGGTTGGTAACCATAGTTAGAACCCACGAAGTATATGGAGAAGATGGGGAGCTGGCTAAGACAGGAGATTGGGACACGAGAAGTTGGATAGGTTTCCGAAAATAAAATTGTCAGGTGAGGTCTAACTCAGTTCAGAATCCTGCCAGGTGGATCTGGGTCCTGGCCATTTGTGGCATCAAAGTGGGGCGTTTGCTGCTCAGTACCTCCGTAGGAGCCTTGCTCTTGGGTTTCGTTGGCAGGCGCTTACCGCAACGCGGTGGGATTCCGGATCTGTGCCGCTGTTGTAGAACAGGGTGGACCAAACCGTTTTCACCACCCCAACCCCCTGGAACCGTTGACAGGGTATGACCCAGAATGACTCCAACAAACACCTGGGTCTGGTGTGATTTCGTTTGGTTGATCCCAAAAACTGACTTCGGCCCCGAATTTCAACTCACAACGGGGCCCCAACATCCACCATCCCGGGGATCGGGCCCTGCCAGGGATGTGTTGAGCAACATGCTGAGCTGCCTGGTGATCTACCTGACCCAGCCCTTTGCGCAGGGCGATTGGATCACCCTGGAGCAGGGCCAGGATGGCTGGGCGGAGGAGATCGGACTCTTCTACACGTGCCCGGCCGGGGAAGGGTTGGGGAAGGGTTGGCGGTTGGGGTGTGGGGTTCTCTGTTTGGAACGACCGATAGGTGGGCAAATTTAGCCCCACTTCATGGACATGTTTATTTTTTTGGATAACAACTGCAATTGGGCTTGTTGAGAGATGCAAAAGGGTGAAACTTTGCAAGAGGTCATCAAAGGTCTTGCTGTGGGGAGCACTTGGCCCATCCAATTGGGGTCACGTCTGTTTTTCGGTTCTTTTCTTGTTGACTTGGGGTACTCTTTTGCCTTGAATGATACGTGACCCCGTAGCCATCTTCGAAGGTTCCATGTGAGCTTTTTGATGCTGCTCATTTTGATTGGCCAATCCATGGTGAGATCGTATGCCCTCCATTGGTACCACCAGAAAAAGGTCACCAGCAATCCCAAGTCACACCTCTTTGGAGCCTCGGGCACCAAGGAAGGTCATTCAGTGGGACAAGCGGCCACTGTATGTCCCCAACTTCCGTGGCTTGGCGATTGCTGGCATCACCCAGTGGTCTCCAAGTGGTTGACAAATTAACCGGGCCTTAGAGCGTTAGAGTTGGGTTCCAGTTCCCAAAACTTAGCCTGGATGAAATCTGTGCTTTGGCCGATTCCACCTCCCAGATCTCCCAGGCATCGTGCAGATGTTGGTGCAGAACAACTCACGGATGACGAATCGACGGGTGAGGTTCGACTTCAAGTTGCGGCTGCAAGACATCCCGAAGGCGCAGAATGTTGCGGAACTGTGTGAGGATGGCCATTGAGTGGGGATGGGGTCGGATGTATCGCCAACCCGAGAAGCTGATGATTCTCGCGGCTGAATATGGCCCTTGTATGCCCTTGTTGGGTTCGTTAAATTCAGGGGATGTAGGTGGAAAGGAAAACCCACCAACAACTTTCTTCAGGGGCTAGGTGAACAAGAATCAACATGAATTGCAGCTGCACGTGACACCATCTACTGCAGATTTTCCCTCCTCCTCACGAAATGGATGTGGTTGTCGCTTTCTATTCTTAGGATGGGTGTGGTATCAGTCCTCTCTGCCCGGCTACCATCAGCGAAATATATAGGGATTGCCCAAAATCCTCAAAAGGACCAACGACTTGGATGATTTTGGGGTCCCCATGTTGGGATTTGCCGATTTGTTCTCTGTTGGAAGCCAACAACCCCCAGAGCTGTTGGCCTGCCTCTGTGGCTAGTTGGGGTTTGGATTCGCTCCATTGTTTCTGAAGTATTCATTTGGACATTATGACCTGGTGGTTCATCCTACCTATAGCCAAGCAGTAAAGATACCCCGCAATCTGCTGGAAACAGCACATCCGGTGCACTTCCTAGCTGCTCGGAGCAGGTACCAGCCATCGTGGAAGACATCAAGAACATGATGTCCGAACACCCCCAGACTCTTGGTTTCTCTTGGGAACGGCTGAAAATTTTTGGATTACTAAACGCAAACATTGAGTTATATTTTTACTACTTTGGTGCTCCTTGATTTTTTCAGGTACCTAAATCACCTAGAGTCATATCCACCCTGACAAGACTCATGAAGACTTGGGAAGCCCACCCAGATCGACCGAGGATCGATTCCGTCACTCATCGCCTGGTGGGCTGGCGTCAGGTGGGCGATTACTCTGCCAACATCTGGCTCTCTTGCTCCCTGGCGTCAGGTGGATCCGTGGGGAATACTGGCACGGTAAAAAAATCCTAGGGGGTTGACCGGTTGACCGGTTGACTGTGAACCGAGGGTCATCGGCTCATCTATTCTTTTACCATTGATGCCACCTGAGCAGAGAACCAGTGCCAGTGTTGCATGACACAAGATGAGACAATTTTGATGGTCATCGTTGAACACTTGTTGGGTTTGCCATCTCTCCATTTGCTGGTGAAATGCCAATTTGTAACTTGGCTTCTAAATAGGTTTACTATGATTCATGGTAGATGTGTCTATAGATAGATGGGATTATAAACCAACAAACACAACTGGGGGGGGCCTTCCTCTGGCAACTTTCCCATTTTCTCTGGAGCAAGAGCCGCCACTAGGCTATACCAAGTCGACGGAACAGGCTGCCGTGCCTGGCGATAAGAAGTGTTGAGTGGAAAGGAAGATGTGTATCAACCCACCAAAAAGATAGAAGAGTAAATAGTTGTATACTATAAAATTTAGAATCATATTTTACTTTTCTATCTGTGTGAAGATTACTATGGATGTTACATCTTGTTACTTGTACTTGTGAGATGCACAATGTGGGGATAAGTCAAGAAGTACGGTATCGGCGGTATGGGACCGTCTGAAGTCTAGGACAAAAGGTATATCATGTACAGTTGGCGCAGGTTACACATATATCTTTGTAGACATACATAGCATTAAAACGATTTGTCTTGAAATATACACATATGATCATATACAGTATACTTGTGCGTATCTAAAGATGCAGATGTGGATGCATGTGCCTGTGCATTGATGCATTGACGTATCATGAAAGTTCCAGGCATTGAAGTGTTCCAGGCATTGGCTGGAAGAGCCTGACAACTTGTAGTGTGAAACTATGCGGCATCTGAAAATGGGGTATACCGTACAGTATGCTCATCAACTTGCCATTCGATGGTAATTTTGTACCACTACATTTCCGGGTATTTCAGAGAATCCATGAATATCTGACCCTACAATCAACCACTGCAACTACGTCGCTAGCAAACGCGCAGGACATCAAGCTGTCTCACTACATCGCTGTGGAACAGTCCGTCCTGGAACGGTGTACTGCGACCTGTCACCGAAACGTTGGTCCCTCCTAGCATCATCTACCAATGTTGGCGGATGTTGTATATGGGGGTGGGTCAAAACCTATTATTATCAATTCTAATGGGATGAACATCCATTTACCAGCTATTTTGGGGTTCACTAGGTGCCAGGGTTTTGACCAATAGCCATATAGCTTTTGGAACACCAAGCCCTCACATTACAATGGTGTGTTCATTATCCTACATGGATGAGATAAGATAGAGAGATATAGAGAGATAGGAAGATGGATCCCATTTGCAAAGGCCATCATCTAGCTAGTTCACTATTTTCGTCTACCGGATGTTCGATTTGTTTATGCCAGCGGATTGAGAAGATACTCCCTGATGAGAGCGTGTCTTGGCGATGGTTGATTGGTTATGAAATAGATCCTCGCTTCAGTTTCCTCTGTAGAGTGCTGGTCCGGAAAAAAACATCACCACAAAAAAGCCGTGAAAAAACAAGTGTGGGGGCATATGTGACACATATTGCCCATATATGTTGTAAATAAATGCAGAAGCTATATGTATATACGTATATGCCCTCTAGGCCCTCTACAGAGTATAACTCTTGAACCAAGATAAATCATACCTGAAGCCAAGGCCTCCTTTTGAATTCATTTTAATCACTTTTATTCTTGTATGCCATCCATGCGGCAATAATATTCCACTAGATTTTCCCATCAACCCATCAGCTAGCAAAGGATTGGGGCGCCTTGTGCCTTCGCCATCATGTACAAACATCATCTATATTGCTAGATGCCATACACGCACACACCCATATATATATATATGTATACATAGCAACCAGCAGGAGATTATTTTTCCTTTTATATATAAATATTCATACTATATACAAAAAATAACATGTATCTAGTAACTTTGTATCATTGAATTATGATGATGAAACCAGAACTTGCCGACTGTGAAACCATCACGTGTATTGCTAAGGCCATCACCTACCAATGTTCATCCCCAAATCAGGTGTATCAATTGGTTTTACCCACTGGTTCAGCTAAGGCCTTCATGTATACTATTTCATATCATGTAGTGACACTGTTATATATATATATATATATCTCTGTGCATATATACATATGTATTTACATATACACACTATGTATATCATGGTCGCATACTTATGTAAATCACTTCTCAACAAAAACCCAAAAGTTGCCGACTTTGAGGCCATCATCTACAAACACAAAGCCGACTTCGCCAGTTCCACGGAGCTCACCGTCCTGGGCGGCGGCGCCCAGGAGGCCGCACAGGTCCTCAACGAGCGCAACGCCGCGGCGCGGATCCACGGCGGGAAGGCGCCCAACGGCGCAAAGGCGGGACACCAGGGGAAGGTGTCCCCCAACAATCAGAATCTTTGGGAGAACTATTACTGATCATGAACTTATGAACCTAAATATTTCTGAATGGAAACTATTTGTAATAGAATTGGTGTATAGAACTGGTTTTATTACGCAATTAATGCAAGTGGCATTCAGCAAAGGAACCGCCATTGTTGCCGGGATTCCAGTGATCCTCCATCCATTTTGAACCAAAAATGGGTTTGTAAAAAATCACTAGTTCATTGTTACTAATTATAGTCATTGTTACTATTATAGTCATTGTTCACTAGTCATATTACTATTCATGTGTAAAACTGGATTTATAGTCATTGTTACTATTGTTACTAATTATGATTATCAATTGGACAACCTACTGAGCCAGGAACTCACGGTGCGGGTTGTCGAGGCTGGGCGCCCTGGGCGGCTTGGGGTTTCAACAGAATCTGTGGGCGCGGTGAGGTTTCGAAAAGGCCAGGGTTTAGGGGTTTCCCCATGGAAATGATCTGGCGCAAGAATCGTTGACAGAAATGTGATGGTCGATGGTCCAATAGCACGCAGAAACACGTAGATCTGGCCAAATTGATGCGTCACTTGCGCAAGCATCGGATTTTGACAAGGATTGACTCGCTTGACAATCTTGTTGAGGGTCTGCGAGTCCCGGAACAAAACAACACAGATGTTGCTTAAACGATTTATAGGTGTTGCAGTGCCCCTGCCACAAACAGAGTCATGAAAATCAAGCGGGGGAATACTGAAGAGATCTGAAGAAAATTCTCAAACTCAACAGTCGGACCACCTGGGCTGTTACTGTTGTTCCTCGACTATTCTCTATAAAGTATCCCCATCCCCATCTTTTCTTTATTATTTGCTGATTATTGCATCTTCAGCCGGTCAATGACCCAGGTCTTCCCATGACTCTCCCAGAACTGGTTTAGGTGGACATAAATCCTCTACAGGATTTTTTTTGGTCGACAATTCGACAATGAAGTTTTTCCTGTCAAGTTTCCTTGACTCGTTAAAATCTCTACTAGGAATTGTTTCAGAGCCCAGTGTGACCCAACAATCATCAAACATCATTGGGTAGATTGGCCCATCCTTGAAAATTCACAGGACCCTCATGTAATAGGCTCCTATATGGGTTTATCCAAACGTAAGGGTTCCTCATTCATGCATTGAAAAAAACATCATTTTTATCAAACCATATTTTTTTCAGTAGCCATTTGGACAAATCTATCTTCTGTTATAGTGAAACCCATGGGTTTTCCATAGATTCTTCCGAGGAGGAACGTGACATACCGTCCCGTGAGCGCGAGCTGCACGATACGCGCAACGCGGTGTTGCAGGCGGGTGGCACGCGAAGGTGGATGGTGGATGTGATTTATCGTGATGACCATGGGATTTATTGGGATTTGTCATGATTTATTGTGGTTTGTGGTGAATTATGGTGATTTACTTGGTGATTTATGGTGATTTCATTACTTGGTAATTTACATGGTGATTGATAGTGATTCATGGTGATTTGTTGTGGTTACCCTTGATTCTCATGTTTTGCAGCAAGACTTCAGAGGAGGACGTCTCACCTGAAAAATTTGACCCACTAGGACATCCCAGTGACAAGTGATCCTGCAGCAACGGTCTGCACAACGATCCCTGTTGAGGCGGGTGAAGAACAGCTGCGAAAGCAAAAGGCGGAAGTGGAGAAGAAAGAAAAGGTGCTGTGTTTGAACTGGGAATTTCCATTGAGGATTTTCGGTGAAGAATCTGTGGATTCAACATGATTTATGCGGATTTACCAGCAGATTGCTGGGTGAAATCTCCATACTGGCTCCAGGAGTTCACCATGGTGAGATTTTTGATGCTTAACACCCAACTTTCTGGATTTTGATGGTAAGATCCGATCTGTGCTGTTTTTTGCTGGTTAGATCCACATCTTTGCTGCTGAAACACCGCAATTTTCAGGGTGCTTCAGCCGCCCAAAGGCCGCTTTGTTCCTTTGTTCCAGCCAGGAGTTGAAGGACAAAGAACAGGAGCTGAAAGATAAAGAGCATCGCCTCGCAGCTTTGGAGGTGACTCCGGATGTGGGGATAGGTCAATATGTCAATAGCTGGGGATAGGTCGATCTACCGGTGATGTATGGAATAGCTATGGAATAGCTATGGAATAGCTGGACCATTGAGTTTGATGATTTACTGAACTTAAACATGGTAATTTTGATGTAATTTTCCAGTTCGCTATTTTAGTTTACCAGAGGGTATGTTATACCATGTTATAGCAAACATTTTCGTTCACTAGGGTTCCAGAGTTTGATTCGTGCTCGCTGCTGATTTGATTCGGTCCATATTCACAGAACTGCTACATCAGAATCAGGCCATTTCACTCATGACAAGCAGCTGCTTGCAATTCCAGGGGTCGATGGCATACTATTTTGAATGAGGTTGTCTATCTGTTTGCAGACGATGAGCAACTATCTTTAATTATAGTATAAAATTGAACCAACCCTGTCTATACCACATGTCTTCATTGTTGGACCCTTCATATCATTTTGCATTTTTTTTTGTACTTGGTAGTTGGTTTGTTCCATGGGGCCCGCCAGGCAGAGGAGGGCGACGAGCACGGCGATGAGGACAAGGTGAAAGTGGTCGCGGAACCGGAGATCGCCACCTGACTGGCCACCTGACCCAGGCTGTGAACGCGCTGGATGCAGAACGGAGGTGGTATAACCATGTTTTTTTTGGTGATTGTTCTTGGGTGTGTTGGGATTGCAATCCCACTTTTAGAACATAATGCATAAAAATACATGTTTGTATGGAAGATGCGGAATCTATCGTTTGAGAGCTGATTTCCGTTGGTGAAGTAGAACAACTATAGGGCCTATGGGAATTATAGCTATAGTTAATGGGGTTTAACCAAATTATAACAGGGGGGGCAACCTAAATTCAATGGAGAGTTGTGATTGCAGACTTTTTACTCCGCATGAGAAAATCATCACGAGACTTTGGACTCGAAAGCTGGGAGCGCTGGGCTGAACAACCAGCAGTGATATGAGTTTGATGCCTGAGTGGAAGTCCACACTTCCAATTACATATATATATATATGCCATAGTGGTATATCATATATATGATATATACTATCATATATGTCATATATATGTCCACACTTCCAATATCTTCCAATTGATTTCAGATGAAACTTGGATCTAACGTGCCAGCAACTCCAGCAACTCGCAGTATCTGGTGGGTCGGCCCTTCGGCTGACTCCTGGCCTACCATACTAAATCCCTTGGCGGGTCGCAATCCGAAAGGAGTCAAAAATACAGAAGACCGGTTTGAAGGTCTTTTGATTAGAAAGTAAAGATCTGGTTGGTATAATCATTATATAATCATTATGTATCATTATATGTATGTATATATATATAGCAAAATGTTTTCAATGTCTATGTCCCTAAAATGGGATGCGATCCGCAGTCGCTTTCCTGTTTTTTTCCCCACCTGCCAGGTGAGGGTCTCTAGATTTCAACAAAGGTGTAACTCCTTCCTCTCCTTCATCTCCTTTTTCTCCTCTCCTTCTTTCTCTCCTTCTCTTCTTCCTCGCCAGCTGCGGATGCTGTGGAGGGTGCCTGGACTGGACCGCCATATCGCGAGCGCAGGAGGCTGTGGAGTGGGTCTGGACCTGAACTGCCAAAGAATGCCAGAAAGAATGTCAGATAGACCAGAGTGTATGTCAGAGAGGATGCCAGAAAGATTGAAGGTATGTCAGATAGAATGCCAGAATGCGTGCCTGAAAAGATGCCAGATAGAATGCCAGAAAAAATGTCAGAATAGATGCCAGATAGAATCCCAGAATAGATGCCAGAAAGTATGTTAGAATAGATGTCAGATAGAATGTCAGATAGAATGTTAGAGCATATACCAGAAAGAATGTCAGATAGAATATCAGAATATATATATATATGCCATATATATTTCCAGATGGTATGTCAGAAACTATATCAGAATGGTGTGTCAGAGTGGGGATCACTCGAAGAAAACATCATTTTCAAGCCAGGTGTCTCACCCAGAGAACACATTGGGATTCAACGAATCAGTGCCATTTTGGCTGTTCCTTTCTCCTGCGACCAACTTTTTGCCAAGGGCTGTAGGGACTTCAAAAACCAACTTTTGACGGCGACGCGCCACACGGGCGTGTGTCGCACCGTGTTGGAATGAGTGCGACAAAGCATCGCCATCGCGCCTGGGATGGTGCCGGGAGAAAAATCCCAGTGCGGAAGGGCAGAAAGGGTAGTTGTGGTTTCTTCAAGAATGTGGGTCTGAAAATGAGGTATACATCAAACATGTGGTTATTTGGCACTATGCGAAAATGTTGATAAACTGGTGGAATTAGGAGTAGCAGACAAAACCATGAAATCAAGGGGCATTTTATTCGAAGTGTGAGAGAGATCAAGCGCGGCCACTGAAACCAATGGCGCCCTGGATTTCTCACATCAAATCGGATGCCATGAATCGGGGACTTGAGGATGAACCAGCCAACTCTCCCCGCTCGGCTTAGATTTTTTCGAGGGATCACCATGTGTGGGTTTCTCTCGTTTTCTCTCGTTATCTCTTGTAAACTCTTTACAGATCTCCTCATTAATGATAGTCAGTTGGGAACATCATCCCAAACTTGACCCTATATATATATATAGGTATGCTTTGACACGTATTATTTAGTAACCGATCTAGTTGTTTGCTATGCCATCTTATTTCCTCCCTGATAGCGTAGGGTTCATACTGAAGAGGTTGTCTAAATTGATGCTTGATCAGATGGTTTCCTTCTAGTACCCGTTATTTCTACTAAGGCCTCTGTTGGGATTCAACTTATTCTTATTTCCGCCGCTCTGGTGGCACAAGCAGGGAAATTGCTCGAGGGGTGATGCGAGCATAACCCGCCCAAACCCACTTGGCCAGGTCTACTTTGACGGGACTGAGAAGGTGGAAGCTGAGGCAGCTTCGAAGTTGGAAGATTGGACGGTTGGGAGGGCTGAATTTCGAGAACATGTGGATCCCTTCGTTGGAACATGGTTTGGTTTGTAATTCCAGATCAATCTAATCATTAATTCTGACTTCTTCGGGAAGCTGAGGGTTTTGGACGGTGAAGGTGAGCATTTTAGAGGCATCTGTGGGGCGTCAAGACGTGGAAATGAATGGATTACTTGTGCACTGGAACACGGCGAGCCGTGGATAGTTGTGCTAAAATGGTTGTGAGTTGCTGGGAGCTTTTGAGCTACCCTCTGGTTATTTAACATAGCCATGGAAAATGGCCCATTTATAGATGGTTTACCTATTGAAGATGGTGATTTTCCATGGCTATGTTAAATAACCAGATGGTAGTGGTTGAGTTCTGTTGACTCTTCCCAGCCCAAGCTGCGTTTTCTGTGTTTTTTGATATGTGCAATTCTGTTTCTGTCCACTTTGTCCCAGCAGATAGTGATTCCCAGCTGGCAATTGTCGCTGGGTATACTGTAATTCTGATGGGTCCCTGGCATTTGAAGGCGCCATTACCATTGTCTGAAACAAAAAGTGTAGCCCCAATTCCCATCGGTTAAAGTTTGGTTAACGCCTCATTTTCCCTATTAAAGATAGATTTGGGTGGGGATGCAATCCATTTTCAGGCACAGCCAGTTGCTGCAATTGCCACAGCATCACGGAACAATTTCTGCTGAGGGTCAAGAGGAAGTCCTTGCGTTCCTTCGCGCGAGGCTTTGTGAGGCGTTGGCAAAGCAGTGTAACTGCCACCGGTGCTATCAAATCTGTTGCAAACTGTCATGTTTTTAAAACCCTGTTTGGTGGGTGAAAGCACCCTTGACTTTATATATTTTTCAAAACCTTCCGATGCAGATGGGTGATAAATACTACTGTAATGATCTGTAATGTATCCACGGAACCTTGAATCCAAGCAGACATTGTCGGCACCTCGGCTACATCCGGTTGGTGGTTTCAAATCCGTTTGCTCTTCATCCAATCGGAACGATGATCCCCGACTTTCACAACACTTTTCTGCATATTTTGGAGATTTCAGAAGCCATGGTCCCTGGTAGGTGAAAGCTTGCTTCCTGCAAAAAGTATGCGTCCATGTCTTATACAACCCTTTTACAGGGGGTCTAAAAGGGCGTCTCCGTGGTGCTGCGGGTCACAGATGGTCGCAGGTCTTCGACATTTTGCTGAAGGATTTGGAGCAGTGAGCTATGCAGCTGGAGTATGAAGAAGCCATGAAGCTGGGCCGTGGAGTCGGTATCGGGGAACCATTGTTGTGTAAACACCTGTGAACCAAGTGACCCTGGCAGGTACCTCTGGCATCGTGATCGCTTCATCTTGGAGCAATGAGCTCATGGGGAGATCGGGCACGGGATGAACTTTGCATGTTGGGGGGATTTCGGGAGATCCGGGAGTATTCTCGGGTACATATTTTTAGGTTAAGACCTGATTAACTCAAGGCACTCTACAAAATGCTGTCCTTGGTCGTGATCTTACCAATGCAGACAATGGCTTGTTTCATATTTGACATACATGTCAATGTCTGTCTTATGGTTATGACTAGCACCAATCCTGATGTAAGAAATACTGCAACGGGTAGTCGGTGTTTCAATCGACAATGTCTGTTTGGTTTCACCCTTTCGTCATCTTGTAAATTTGGAACGTGGTCAAGATTGGCAACTCCCAAATCCGCAAGATTTGGGTCATTTGGGTGTGTCTATGGGGTACCCGGGTACTGTACCCTAAACTTGGTGCATTTTCCCGATTCAAATGGGACTTTTGGGGGTGCGAAGCCTAGGCCCTCATTGGAGGAGGTTCCACATTTGGCAGGGCATTTGCGGATAGGCCGCTGAGGGGCCGGACCAACTGCTGGGTCTGGGTCAAAGGTTGAAACACTGGCGAGACCAAATGTTTCGGTCATTTTTGGGCACTGATCACAAAGTGATTGGAATCCCCAACAACACCAAGTTTTGGGGCGAGGCGGCTTTAAAGTTGGAGTCTTGGTCAGAAAGGACACCCCATACGGTATTTGTGAACATATATATATATACACACACATAAACAATTATAAACATACCTATAAAATCTATACATTTAAACTATACACACACCTGTCAGGAATTCTGGAGTGACGGGGCATCCACTACAGGAACTACCAGGGTTTGAACTGTACACATGTCACCATCTATAGTCCATTTATTAATCCCATTCTAATAGATTCGAATCCCATTATCCACGATATTTGTGGTTTAAATCAGCAAAATTTCAATCATTATCAACCATCATTATCTCAAGCATGGCAAAGCATGGCTCGTATTCCCGTCACTCCCAACTGTTCCAGGGGACGGCACTGAAGATGAATGGTTCGCCCGGATCCCTTTTGGGTCATGCCATGCCAGGGTCATGGGGAGGGTGTCGATTTTGGGGCCAGTCATGTTTAAAACCCATGGGATTTCAATATCTTGCCTCATCAAACGTAATCCTCAATCATTACATGGTCTTGACGGATTACGGATGAAACGCCACAACCCCCGGAAAGGATGATGACCGGCATTCATACTAAATGAAAAACGTAGACCATCAGAGGATTTTCGAAATTTCAGCTCTTGTACAGATCCAATCTGTTTGGCCTTACGTAGTCTTCTTCATCATGTAATGCCGGGCACTGTCCGGCATTGTTGTTCACAACATTCCTATCCTCAAGCATTGCGAACGGGTTCGCAGAATTGTTCTTGTGGGCATGTCACCCTATGTCTCCAAGCAACAACATGTTGGAAGCTGGCAACTGGCAAGTGGCAAGGTGGTTCATCTTCTGCGCAAGCTGAGCCTGCAACGTGATGACGTGTCGTCGGGAGACCGAACTGGGTCGACTAACTTGGCCCGCAAAATTTAACTTGGAACCACACAATTACTATATCCAATAGACAAATGTTTTGTTAACTGTTAAACTATGGTAAATTTATATATTTTGGTGGGTGCAAACATCATCTTTTTCAGCTGCCTCATCTGAAGAAACCTCAGGGAATTCCCAGACACCAGGGCCTCCAGGGTCAACGGTTGAAAAAATGATCCCATGAGCTCGTATTATCTACTCACTTTCCAGGGTTGGATTTTGACCAAAGCCTCTTGGTATGCTATAAATTGGGCCCCGGATAGGCATCAAAACATCCCAAGAAATGATTGGAATCAGACATACTGTAGAAAGAAAAATTAGATCCATACTTGTGAAATGACCCATCCTTTAAACAATATTCCAGGGATCCCTCATCTTGTTCAACATTTTTTTTCCAAACTAAGGGTTTCTCTTTCTGTCAGGTGTCGCGTTGCCGATGCAGATGGTGAGTTGCTTCTGATCGAGGCCGTGCTTGCAGAGTGGTGCTGAGTATCCGATATCCCATCTGTGACTGGTGCAGACAAGGGGAGATATTCCAAGCTCCAACCTTGTTATTAATATTGACAACAAAGGCGTAATGAATGAGCAAATATGCCATGAAAATCTAATATGTGCGATTTGGTGATCTCGTAATACAAACCTGACACGACAAAGTGGTTTTGATCCCTTTATTATCCTTTATTCATCATAAAATACCTTGTACAATGACCTATTGCAGAGGCAACAGGTTGGACAGATAGCGAAACATATAGGTTGTAGCAGCAGCATTATCATCATACATCCATGTTTTTTGTTTTTGTTTTCTTCTTCTGATATCCCTCTGCTTGTTGGTTGCAGCCTCAGTTCTAGGTAAGCTTTGGGGCATAGTTTAGTACTCTAATCTTTGCCATTTTGATGGGAATATAATGGAATGTATTACTCTAATCAGCTGAACAACAGTTCATCTTTTGGAGGGCATCTAAGACTGGCATGATTACGTATCATACTACTAAATATCCACAACATTTTCTCATTACATCTCCATAGAGTGGCTGGTTTTATAGCCATTACTCCGATTGAGATGGTGGATTTTGATTAAACCGTAGAGCATCCCTTGTTTTTGAGAACCCCAGTCTCCCACCTTCCAAGCTCAATGGGTTCTGTTTCGTACGTGCGCAGGCTGCTTTAGCCACCCCTCGTTGGGTCTCTCCCAACAACGCGGAGAACCGCTGCTGGTGCCTGGGCGTTGGTGATCTGGTGGTTTTGCCATCAAAAATATGGTGGGTTTGATTCACAATTAAATAAGTAAACTAAGTACTTGTGATGTTTTAATGTTCTTAATCTCTGGATTTGATCCTATAATGTGAGTATATTGTGATTATAAAGTAGTGCTATTGGTGATTATTTGATGCGCTACTGGTGATTATACCGTTTTTTTCTATTATGACTGGTGGTTTTACAATCGAACGTGATGAGATCCAATGCTTTCAGCAGCTGGGTTTCTACACCTCCGAGTTTCAGGATCCGCAAGGGCCTGGTTCACCTTTTGCTCCTCGGCAGAGGGAACAGCTTTGGTTGTTCCACGGCTGAAAAGCAAGTCCCCGGAACCAATTTTTTGTGGCTCAAACGGATTGATCTCCCTAAATTAGCAGTGCTACCAACAACAAGCAAAAACAAAACAAATCTCTCACCGAAGAAGAAACTACGAACCAACATTGGTCAAACTTGGGTCCCTCAAATTGAGATTAAAGAACGACAAAATAGGATGGTTGAAGACTCAAATACATATGAAATCAGCCAAATACCCTCCGGTAATTCAACATATGGACAATCCACTATATTTTATAGATTATTTCCATTTATTTCCCCATTAAAATGTCATGAACATGTCCAGCTTACCATGTTTGAGTGTCTCCTAAGGCCCAAACCCCAGGCGGGGGAGCCCGTGCAGCTGTCTCGGCGCGAGGCGAGGGCGCGCAAACACGGCTGGGGCTAGGGTGAACTTTGAGGAAAGATGGAGAGATTTACAAAGAATCCTGGTTATTTATGTTATTTGTTGAGTATTTAATGGCTATTTGATGAGTATTTAATGGCTATTTGATGAGTATTTAATGGCTATTTGATGGGATTTTTTCATCGGAATTTGGTGGGAATGTCAGCATCCATGGCAATTCTTTGTTTGGTGGGGGCGAAAAAAGAGGAATTCAGATACTATGGCATATTCATTGCATTTGTCCAAATCCACGAAATACTAGGGAATATAGTTTTGCCAACCATGAGATGGAATGACGTATCTTATTTTTGAGACAAATCCATTTGATGAGATTGGGGACTGGTCAGTACCAAACACAATCTCATCATTTACTATAACTATAACATGGCAATGGGATCAAATACTTTTTTTTTGGCATTGCCCTGGTTTGATTGCCACCGGGCAACCCCAAAATTGGCTGCACCAGGATCTTTTAATTGAGAACCATTCTGGCAACATGCTCGGGTAACAACATCCCCATTTCACCCATCAATGGGAGGATCTTCAGTAAGAGCCCCTAGAAAGGCGATCACGCATAGAGAGACAAAATGCTAAGCAAGAATGGGCTTTGACAAACAAGACTGCTGGTTGGTGGTTTGGAACATGAATTTTATGTTCCATTTCATACATATATGGGATGTCATCCGAAAGCCATTGACGAACTCCATCATTTTTCAACATGGTTACCCTCTGGTAAACTAACATAACTATGGAAAATCACCATTTATAGTGAAATTTCCCATGAAAAATGGTGATTTTCCATAGTTATGTTAAATTACCAGAGGGTATTGCACCACCAACCAGACTTGGATGATGTTGGCATAATGGTCACCTTTTAGGACCAATCTGACGGAGGGTAGGGGTGAGCTGACGAAGCTACGATGTCTGGGATGCATCATCAGGGCCTCCTGCGTCTGTGTGCCTCCGGTGAAGAAAGTGTTGCACGAGGTCGGGGGATAGACTGACTTGGCGGTGGTCCCAAAAAGGGGGTGTCTCAGGAATAAATCGCCAGTAAACAGGGGGATTTTTCAGGGGATTTAAGCAACGAAACTGGGTATATAACTGCAAAATAAGTGGGTATATAATATATAACTGATTATAACTGGATAAGACTGGGTATATGATGATATAAGCTGTGTAATTGGGAACTCCAATGTTTCTGGGTGTAGCTTTGTCCCAAGGCATGGGCAGATGGGGATTGCATACGGACCCGTGGCAAAGCGGATGTGGAATTTGGGTGCAGGTTCACATCCCTACACAGTAGCAATTTTTGCGTCCTTTCTTTTCATGTTTTGGATTTTTGTATGGAGGTACTTACGGAAAATTGCTCGTTGGGTTGAGATTTTGGACCGGAAAGGACCGAACTTGGCTAAACAAATCCGAGGCAAGATGCAGAAGGCCATCGAGGCCAGACTGCAAGGCGCGGCCTTGCGCTGTGCCTTGCGCTGTGTGAACCGATGGGACAATCCGGGGGATGGGTCAAAACCCTGGTACCTAGTGAACCCCAAAATAGCTGGTAAATGGATGTTCATCCCACTAAAAATGTATCTATCAGCTATTGACCCATACCCATCCATCAGCAGCCAGCCAGGCTATCCCAAGCGAGCGATGGAACTCTCGCGGCATGTCGCTCGGGAAATTGGATGGAATCATCCCAATGGAGGGATACTGTACATGATACAACCACAACGGGGATATAAGCCAACCACAACGGGGACATAACATGACATAACTGGATAACATGGGATATAAGCCAACTTTAAGGTTGGATCTGATATAATCTGATGTAATTGTATTAATCATCACTTGATCATTTTGCTATCAGAACTATTCATATGGTAAATAAAATCCATAAATTGTGGAAAATACCATGGGAAATATTAGAAAATATCTTTCTCTTCATATTCTGATCATTTCTGATCGCCAATGGTACTTTCAAGGCTCCGCACAGCTGTGATTTTGGTTTGCAGATCGAGGTTTGAGTCCACGGCGACAAAGTTCCATGTTGTGATGCACCGAATGTAGGCTATCCTCAACAACAAAAATCCATCTATTTCTATCCAGTTTTCTTACGGTGTTACCATTTCCTTCAGAGAAATGGTGATTTTCCTAGGCCACCCCTATTTGTCAAAAGCGGGGCATCCGGTTTTGCGCGGCCTTCAAGGTCGTGCGTGCCGTCCTTCCCGAGAGCGTGGCGAGGTTGCTGGTAGCCGCTGGGAGGCATTTTGAGCGCCGGAAGAACTCACGAAGTGGTGACTTTTTCTTCGCGAGATCACACGTTTGTGGTTTTGGGGCATGGTTTTGGGAATTCCCAAGTTGATCTGAATTTCAAAAAAAACAAAGACGCGGGACAGATTCTGAGTATTGGTGAGATCATTGTTTCTTTTGATCATATGAGGGACATTTCCTGAACACACAACTATTTTTGTTTATTGAGATTACATGATTCCCAGGCTTATCGATACACTACCCTCTATATATCTAATTTACGTGGAAGCTCTTGGTGAAATTGGAAGTTTCTGTCGCCTCGATGTGTATTTCATCTAGGACTCTATATCCTTCATGATCCTGAACTAAACAAAAAGTTACCCTCTGGCATACAAAAAGCTATTGAAAATGGCCATTTATAGTTGATTTACCCATTAAATATGGTGATTTTCCATAGTTATGTGACAGTTTACCAGAGGGCAACACACAGCCGAAAAATGGAACATGGAATCCCCATGGGATTTGGAAGATGACTTTCCGCTTTTGATCATGCCAAATTTAGAGGTTCCAAAAGGAAAAGGTGAGGTGATAAGACCAACTTAGAACTTCTCAACAACTCAACGTGCCCCCTGCCAGAAGCCGCACTCCAAGACTCCAAGGCCTTACCCCAGTTGATCTCCGTGATTTTGGATCATCTTCCAGCACCTCCCACGTTACTGGGGCCCAGTGGTCACAGTTGAGACTTGGAGAAGGGGAAATTGCACCAATGGGAGCTGCACACCCAGAAAACTCATGAAAAATCAGAGTTCAAGACAGATCTTATGTTGAAATGGTTGTGCTAGGGCTGCTAGGGTTGGATTTTGGTTGAACCACTGATTTTGCAAGGCGCGAGCTACTCCGGCTCCGACGGGACTTGCCGGAGCATCAGCCGCGGTGGCACAGCGGTGTTTTCCATCAGTCGTGCGATGATTCCAGGAGAAAATTAGGGGTTTAACCAACAAAGGGGAGATGACCAACAAAAATAGGGATTTGACCAACAAAAATAGGGATTCAAGCAACAAATTGGGGATTTTGCCAACCCAAATAGGGATTTGACCATGAAAACTAGGGGGATTTGACCAACAGAAAAGGGAATTCCAGCCAACAATTGGGATGAATCGTATTTCATGGACTTCTTCAGCAAGAATAAGGGGGGTTCGTAACTTGGGGGATCCCAGTGCTTGAATTTAAGCCCTTACCTCCATTGACTTGAGACCCAGAGATATCAGTTTGAACTGGTCCGGGGAAAAGAGGAGAGCTATTAGGCTTGATCCTGGCCGCCATCGAAATCATCCCAGCTGAAATCGTATCTTCCAATCTTAAAATTTCCCAGAATTGGTTCATGGGAAAATTGTGAGGACATTCCAATATTTGATGGTAACAATATGAAACAGCCAGAGTTCTCTGCAGATTTTTCCCTCAAACCAATCCATACCAATCCATGGAGAGGTTTCCCAAGGTGCCAGGCCTTTGGATCCTTTGGTGGGCTGTGAAACTGATTTTGAGGTCTGTAAGAATGTGGCTCTGCCCCAATATATTTTGCCTTTCATGGGATGATTTTAAATGATTTTGCACTATTTTCTGAACCCGTAAGATCTTGAGGTCCGCCATACACTTCAGCCAAAGCTTCATGGTGCGGCTGAGGTCCGCCATACATTTTGACTGCGAGAATCTGGGTGAGGAGGACCTTCAGTTGTGGACGCGCGTCAAGTTTTTCGCTGGTGATCATTCCGTGCTGTTTGCATCATCCAACCTTGGGGGTTCAAGCGGCCACTTATTGGCTAAGTGGCCGCTTGCAAAGTGATTCATTCATGCGATTCATGTGTATCCCAACACATATTCTCTGGTAATTGGTTACATAGCTATGGAAAATGGCCCGGTTAGTTCTTTGATTGTCCATGATTTACCTATTAAAAGTGATGATTTTCAATAGTTATGTGAGTTTACCGCTGCCTGAGATGATCTCAGTTTTCAGAGGACACCGTCCTTATTGGAGTTCGTTTCACCCGACTTCAGCCTGGGACCCCTGGGACGGAGTCCGGCTGTGGACTGGTCAACCGACTTGTCCAAGGGGGGGCCATGGGCTGCAGCGGCTGCATTGGCTTTACTCAATCTCTCATAGCTCTCATAGTTCGGTAAATCCACCTTTCTATTGGTGAAATAGCCATAATGATTATTAATGATTCATAATCTTAATTTATATTTGTTTGGATTTACCCACATCATTGAAACTAACACCGGTAGTTGGTCAACCCTTCATTTAGGTCAAACTCGAAGTATTCTTGACTAAGTACATTCAAGAACCGTTTACCCTTTGGTATCATGACGCCCTTAGGTATGCGCGGCTGATCAGTTTACGCTGCCAAGTGCCGCAGCGTTTCTCGCGAAAGCGATGGAAGTCGCTGGGAGACTCATCGAGATGACCTGCGATGATCTGTTGAACCCATCTGCTATGATGGGTTTAACCCTCTGGTAAACTAACATAGCGATTGAAAATGACCATTTATAGTGAGTTTTCCCATAAAAAATAGTGATTTTCCATAGTTATGTTAGTTTACCAGAGGGTAACCCACAGACAATTGAAGGTCAAGCAGCTGGGGATTTCATGATTTAACCCCGGAGTGGGAGAGTGGGAGCAACGTGAAACTGAGCGGACATAGCCTTCTTACCCTTTCGCCCCTAAAAATGTGGCCCATTTTGGCAAAGCAACTCAGAAGGATTAGTAGGTTTTTGATCTCATGCCATATTTATTTTCAGCAATAAGGTCACCAGAAATTTGATCTTATCATCATATTGATTATCAACCATCATCTTATCATCACCATTAAAAATGCCATAGTTATTAGAATTTTCATGAATTATCGTATTCATCAATTATAGAATCATATTCTAGATTGTTTGTAAAATTATCATAGACTGCTTGGTGGTTTGGAACATGAATTTTATTTTCCATTTCATAGAAAAGGGATGTCATCCGAAGCCCATTGACAAACTCCATCATTTTTCAGAGGGGTAGGTTGAAACCACCAACCAGTAGAACTTCTCATGGAAAATATCATGAAATGATGAATCCCGAAATCTTGACCCGTTGCCATCATTGCTTCACCGTTCAACCCTGCCACGTCGCTTCCCTGCCACGGGCGTGCCGTGCCACGGTCGTTAGGCCCAAGGGTGTGAAGGATCCCAGCGAGAAAGCCATGCAGCTGGGCGCCATGCTGTGTGCAGGCGCCTTGCCAAAAGTCTCCTGTTGCCATCCACTGAATTATCAGAATCATATCTTCAAACACATACAAACATACACATACATGCATACATGCATACATGCATACATGCATACATGCATACATGCATACATGCATACATGCATACATGCATACATGCATACATGCATACATGCATACATGCATACATGCATACATGCATACATGCATACATGCATACATGCATACATGCATTACATGCATACATGCATACATGCATACATGCATACATGCATACATGCATACATGCATACATGCATACATGCATACATGCATACATGCATACATGCATACATGCATACATACATGCATACATGCATACATGCATACATGCATACATGCATACATGCATACATGCATACATGCATGCATACATACCATACACATGCATACATGCACACATGCATACATGCATAATGCATACATGCATGCATACATGCATACATGCATACATGCATACATGCATACATGCATACATGCATACATGCATGCATACATGCATACATGCATGCATACATGCATACATGCATACATGCATACATGCATACATGCATACATGCATACATGCATACATGCATACATGCATACATGCATACATGCATACATGCATACATGCATACATGCATACATGCATACATGCATACATGCATACATGCATACATGCATACATGCATACATGACATGCATACATGCATACATGCATACATGCATACATGCATGCATGCATGCATGCATACATGCATACATGCATACATGCATACATGCATACATGCATACATGCATACATGCATACATGCATACATACATACATACATAGATCGATAGATAGATCGATAGATAGATAGATAGATAGCTACATAGATACATAGATACATAGATACGTAGATACATAGATACATAGATACATAGATACATAGATACATACACAATTATTAAAAAATATAGACATATGACGTATTAGTACATATATAGTAATATATATATATATAATGTGGATTTGTGTACATGTGTCAATGTGATATATATATATACATAGGTTCCAACTCACCAAAATCAACTAAAGTAACTAAAGCAACTAATGTATCTACACTAGCTAAACACGCTAAATAAACATACAGACAAACCAACTAGCTAGCTAATCCTGTACATAAACGGACAACATCATAAATAAGCAATCTATCAAATAGGAAACTACATATGTAGACACATTAGTGGTTGATGGCGGTATCAGTGCACAGCTAATCTGTGAGTTGCCAAGTCTGCGCGTTGGGATCGGTCCGGATCTGGCCTGGAATAGGGGTATGCCCACGAATAGATATCAATGGGAAATATCATGAGCAACCCTTGGATTTGGGGTAGCGTATTAGTTGAGCAGTTTCCAATTTCCTAAAGTATAGGGCGATGATGTATGGCTTTCTGCTGGTAAAACCATTGGAATCCTATCAACCAGTAGAACTACATCAACAACTTTAGCGGAAACTGTTCGGGCCAGTGATTTGATCAGATTCGATAGGTCGCGGTTTGTGGTTCCGTTCTTCTATGGTATATCGCTACATCTATAGGGATAATGCTGATGGACCAGCGGGGTTTGGTTGCAGGAGCCCAATTTGTGGTTGAGATCGGCATTCTTGTTGCTTACATTGTACTGAAAAACTCAGTCGTGCCAGCAGTGTTCATCAAATTTCCAATGTTTGTCTAGCCGCAAATGGGGGTATAGCATGGTATAGCCCATTAGATGAATCCATATCCATCCATATCCCACATGGTTGATGGTACACACCATAATATCCATCAAAATATCCCCATTATATCCATTAAAATCGCCCTTGGTTTCAAGGCGGGCAAAATCCACGTCCCCCAGATTCGGTTTTTAAGCAGCCAGGCCTGGAAGCTGCCTACTTGCAAGGAACCCAAAGCGTTGGGTGCACCCAGTTGCCGAAACCGGGTCCACCCCACTCTGTCTGTCGGAAGATTCAAACCCACCCATTGAGAATTTGAGGTCCAGATCTGGGGTAAACATGGGTTACATTACTTTAATGTTTCCAGATTGGTGGTATAACAACCAGATGGTATAAGATGTTGTGGTCCCTTTTGATGGTCTGGTTCTTTGCACGTGGTTCTACAGTTCAACAGAATCGGATGCCCGATAGCGGCCTTGAAGAAACGCTTGCTGAGCCTTAGGGACATGCAAACCGCCCACACTAGATGAACCAGCGGAAAAACTATGCGGCCCAGAGAAGGATAGGAAAGGATAGGAAAGGACAAACTATTTTAGAGCCATTCCAGGTCGCAGGGGACACGTTTTGCACCTATTTGGACATGGTTACAGTTCTGATCCTAGCGGTTTCCAGCGGGAACTTGTAACGGCCATTGATGACCGGCATGCTGCACAACTGCGTGTGGGGGGCTTTCAGCAAATTACTTGAGTCTTGAAGGGCATTGGAATGGTTGACCAAACATAAACTCACACCCAAGCATGCCCAGATTTAGGATTACCTCTATGACCTCGAACCATTCAACCACGGATGTGTGGCCTATATGACAATACAGTATGCCCATACCTTAAAGGGTTTTAAAGGTTTTTTTTTGGGCTCTTTGGTGAGGGCCCATTATGGTCCTCCCACTTTGGCACTTTGGGCTGACCTCCAACTGTTGAGGCAACAGCTGTGCTACGCTGGCGCGAGGTTTGGGGTTTTCAGAGTTGTTGGGCTTCTTGGGACTCACCTAGGTCACCTGGCTGAACAAGATCTGGCTGACAGTTTCATTCGCCTATTCGTATACGACTTGTATATCATCATATATCTAAATGATTATTATGTACGTACATAATCGTACATATAGGTATAATATGATCTAATATGTGATTTTCACACCAGTTAGTGATGATGATCTCAAATCATGAATTAACTTTGAGATTTGTGGAAACCGAAATTCCCAAAATGGTTCTGTTGGGACCCAACAGTGATTGTTTTTTGTCAGCCTACGCCAATCTGTTGTTCATCCACCCATTCTTTAGCAGGACTCCCGACAGCGGGCAGCCCGCATCAACATTACAGAAAGGGTGGAGTTCCGTGGTTGGGGTACAGGGTCAGATACATGGTTATACTGACATTATTATTTTTTTTCAGCAATTTCAATTTTCCCATAATTTGCAAGCATCATATACAGTGTTTAGTCCGATAGTTCATCAGCCCAACCAGTTACACAATGTTACACATGGCAAATCCCAAAGGTCTGGAACTCTGGAACGTGAGTTTTTTTGTTTTCCTTCAAACGGTATCGGTTCTACATCCCACGGACGTTGATGTCAGGTGCCAGAGACCCTTCCGTGGGCGTCGGGACTCCGGGTAGAGCTGGATTTGGGACCTTGGGAAAGGATAGTTAAATCCATAAGTTGACTGGGGACACCTTAGTTTGATACTTTCAATTTTTGTGCCCTGGGGACGTATACACTAAGCAACAATTCATATGCAGTGTGTATCTAATAAAAAATGGGGTTGTCCATTTTCACTACGCCAAGTCAAGGATTTGACACCACCGATTCACCACCGATTCACTATTGGCTGTGAAAAGGCATTGGGGGGGATACAGTTAATTAACTGAGGGTTCAGACCATGATTCCAACGATGGGGATACAACCCAGGATTTGGAACAATGGTTGATGTGTTGTATTTGATTTCAGTGTCTGGGTATTTTTTTTTTATGTCGGCACACTGGCACATAAAAATATCATAAATCTCCACATCACTGGATGTAATCATGACAAGTGACAGGAGAACTAGAAGAAAGAGGAAGACGAAACGGGGGCAACCAAATTCTAGGGATCATGTTTAGAGAAACATGAAACACAAAATGAAATGATGAACGAAGACACATAAGTTCAGATCGCAATCCTCAAACAACGGAAGGAACACCAAAAATCCCATGGTTCAGAACCTCCCACCTAACAACTGAAGAACTGTCAAAGCCATATCTGTTGGTCATATGGGCTCTGAAAAGAGGCAATCCCGAAAAATCCAATGGTTTATAATTCATCATTTTCTGAACGCCATTTTGAGGTCACCATTTTCAGACAAAGCCATATCAATAGCCCCATTTTTTGCACCTCTAAGCTGGTGCGGTAAGCTGTGCGCCCAGGTCTGACAGCCTCTTTCAGAAGCAGCTCAGACCCGAGCCAGAGCCTCAAAAAATCACCGGAATATGGGATCAATATGGGGATGGGTCAAAACCTATTGTTCCCATATTTCGGGGAATAAACATCCATGAACCAGCACTTCTGGGGTACCTAGATACCAGGGTTTTGACCCATAACCATATGGGATCAATGGGACTGTTTTGGAAGCTGAATTTCCTCAACCAACGAATGAGGTTCCGAGGTTTCAGGGGGGTAAATGACTTGTTTCCCGCTGAGACAAAGGGTACTGTGGCAGTTCCATGTCAGAAGGAACGTTGGCCAATTTGGTCATGAAGCATCCCCAAGCCATCAGCGGTTTTATGGGTGGTCTAAACCATCCCCAGTGAGTTTGTGGATTGGGTTTACCACATTGGGATTGTGACAATAGGAAGCTGCTTATCAAATCGGTGGGACGATCCCGGGTGGCTTTTGTATCCACACTTCCAAATGGCCTTTGAAATTTTTGACATGTTTCTGAAATGACTTGCTTCCATTTAGAAAATTTAGATCCAAGATTTTGGAGATATCGGTACCCTTTTACCCAATGTTAGCCTTTTGTTTTATCCTTTGGTTCATCTTGGATGACAGCGACATACGGGACTTCAAGCATCCCAGCAGACGAGTCCCACGTGTGATCCGCATCCTGTGCTTCACCAAGACTGCTGAAAGCTCCCTCTGCGCGTCGTGCCTATGCACAGCGAGGGCACCCAAAGATAGGTTTTGAGGAGGTACTAGCGAATGTTTCATTAGTCTTATCTAGATTCTCATAGGAATAATGATCATTACGTATACCGGTACATATTATGATTCTATGATTATCATTTATCAGCAATGGTTTTTGAACCCCCAACAATGACAAGATAATGCGAAGCGAGGAAATGGGCGGACTTAAAGGATTGACCCCAAAGTTGGATGGGAAGTTCCGCCATTCCCATTTTGGGAACGGGTGATTGGGGCACACATTGCCCTGTCCTCTATGACAAGGATGACCCAACAATCCTGAAATATAATCTGTGTATGGATCGGATTTCACATTTTTTAAAATGATGTTGGTCATTTCTAGCATGAAGCTGACGTCTTTTTTGACCCGGATTGGAGACCCAGAATTTGGAAATATGGTTTTAAACATTGTTTTGAAACCCAGTGGCTGAGCATTTTTTAATGCTGAACATTGATTCAGAAACACATCAACATGTTTTTCATCACCCAATCTGTTGATTCAGCAATTTTGGAGCCACGAGAATCCATGGATCTTAAAACCAGGCAAGCGGAATTGGAGGAGCACTTCCGAGAGGCTTGAACATGGAATTCAGTGTGGGATACTTTTTGTTTAGCCATAGCAATCCATAGCAACGCATTGGCTCTTGTATGTTTGGTTTCCCCTGCAGTTATGGTTCAATCTTGATGCATGATGACTTGAATTTTGACCCAAGACAATCCAAAACATGCTTTGACAAGCTGTGAAACATGGTTTTTCTCCATCGATCTCGGTTTGTTTCACCATTTTTTGACCCGACTCATATGAAAACGACAGGACAACGATGGAATCCGATTCGATGCGGGGAAAACCCCATTTCAGGAGAACGCCAGCCGAATTTCACATAAATTCAGTCTTTCTGATGGGGGGCTGAACCTATTATGTAGACAAAACATGGAGGATTTGTGTTTTTGAAGTCCTTAGTTGCCTGAAATAACTCAAATCAGAGTTTATAGTGGTACATTTTTTTCCGGAGGATAACATAGCTATTCATTGTAAAGCCAGTAAGATGGGACAAAAAACGTCATAAACTTGAAGATAGCCTGCTGTAAAATTAAACAACAACTTACTACAGTAAATAAAACTAAATAATATATGTGTGTTGTCTGAGAATAGGGTAGCACAACATCAGTTGGATAATCCTGATACGATTTTTCCCATGAAGAATTGCAATTTTATGGGCATTCTTTTTTTACACATCCAGATTTGGTAAAGAATCGGATTACTCATATTAAATCACCATGAAATCCCATTAAGGCATCATATTAACCATACTAAGCGTATTATTAAAACGCGGCCCATTTTTGACCAGGCCTACATCCGAGCAGTGCGAGATCCAGCACTGAAGGCGCAGGGATTTCACCATCAATGGGGATTCAACGAAAAAAACGGTGGATTTTTTCATGAAGCCCTTTGAAAAGGATCACAAAAACTACCCTCTGGTAAACTAACATAGCTATGGAAAGATCTACCATTTTCAATGGGAAAATCCACTATAAATGGCCATTTTCAATAGCTATGTTAAATTACCAGAGGGTAATATTGAACCGCAATGACATATAAAACGTTTGTATCAACCTTAAGAAATGCCTCTCGAGTCAACAAAGATGGCCTCAGTAACGCATCATTGTAGAAGAATAGCGTGGGCAAATGTGTTCCCAGAACAGATGATGTGCTGAAGGTGAAATGCTTGTACCAATCAATTCCGGATCTTTCTTACTGACTCATACCAGTACGGCTTACAACACTGGAAACAGGATAAAACATGATATGAATTTGTTAACTAAAAATTGCATTGGTAGGAGTTTCTATACCTCTTCTATCTGCCTCTACTCCGAGATACCTTGTTTGGAAGTAAAACATGCAAAGGATCAAGCAACTATAAATATAAATATATGTATATATATATATGTATGTATATATATATGTATATATATATACGTATATATATATATGTATATATATATACGTATATATATATATGTATACATATATATATATATACATACATGTATAATATATATTTATATGTATAATACATACATATATGTACTAAATTACAATGTTTGTTTGGTTTGTCAGTTTGTCAATCCATATGAAATTTTCGCTGGTGCAATCCCAATGTTTGATGATGTCGAACTATGTCCCCAATAGCCCCATGCTTGGGCGGCTCCATCTGTTTTGGCAACATCGCACAGAATTGGATGAAGGGGAAAAAAACTATAAAGTCGACCCCATGTGTTTACCCATAAAAATGGCTTGGACATCGTTTTTCTCAAGCCCCAAATGGTGATTTCCCGTGAGTTTCGTTCCGTTCCTTGGTGACATGTCATGCAGGCCGTGGATCTAGAAGCGCACTGGCGGGTCTGGGCTCTCAGCTTCGGCAGGCAGGTGCGAGTTTGAATGGGTAACATATCCCAAAATACGTAACTGTATATAATGATATATATATATATATGTATGTAATGGTTATAATATATATGGTATATGATATATATATATGGTTATAATATATATATATGATATATATGGTTAAATATATATGTATGTATGTATGTATATATGATGTATATATATATATATATATATTAATGGATATAATATCCCCATAATTATGGTATACCCTCTGGTAAACATGCAAAAAACGATAGACAATCACGAGTTTGAGTATTTGCATGGCTTATTTTCAATGTGGTACAGCGAATGCCATAAACCTCCGGCTGGCTTGTTCGCAACCCTATGGTCCGTCAGGGACTCACCCGCATTCGTTTTACCATAGCAACATCATCGCTGGTATACATATAATATATATACATATGCATATATATATATACATATACATAAATATGTGTATATATATATATATACACATAAACATATATATATATAAATACATGATGTCTGCCCTTGATTTATAAATAGGGGGCCCCCCCCCCTCTCTGACCCTAAATAGACTTAAGGCCACCATAAAACTTGTTTGTATGTAAAGGTTTTAAATTACCACAATTGAAAACGAATACATAAAATGCAATTTCAAAAAAAAAGGAATCCAGCAATTGTTTTAGTATTGATCTAGTACTCATGTCATGGATTTAGTATTGATTTAGTATTCATGTCATGGATTTAGTATTGATTTAGTATTCATGTCATGGATTCAGTATTGATTTAGTATTCATGTCATGGATTCAGTATTGATCTAGTATTCATATCATGAATTTAGTATTGATTTAGTATTCATGTTATGGATTTAGTATTGATCTAGTACTCATGTCATGGATTTAGTATTGATCTCGTATTCATGTCATGGATTTAGTATTGATTTAGTATTCATGTCATGGATCTGGGCAAATCTGGGTTTAGGGCCAAAAACAATTAGCTTTATTCAGGGTCAAACTCTAATTAGTGCCAAGGCACCTCATGGGGGGTACCCTTGACGAGTTGATTTGAGATTGATTTTGGATAATTTTGAATAAAGGTTTTGAATAGAAAAGTTATCAAGGTAAGATCTAATGAGCTGGCAATATGAATTAGTACATGAAAGCCACCTCAAATAAAGCATGGTTTTTTTTTTTCAGCCCCATCTGGGCAAATCTTTTAGGGCCAAAAAAAATTAGCTTTATTTAGGGGGCATTTATTATTTATTTTGGGAAAAAGTTAGCTTTATTCAGGGGGCATTTACAAATCATAGGTCAACATTATATATATATAAATACATAATGTATGTATATATATATATGTATGTATGCACATATTGATATATGTAGTGTGATTCGGTAGAGGTTGGTGGGATATCATCTGGCTATGGTTGGCGAACTAAAACTACCATAAAACTGGACCTTTAATTGGTGAAGCTATCGCAGAATCGAGGGTGAACAGTGACAAACGACATGGGCGCCCCAAACTTGGGAACTTCAGATCCAAGCATTTCTCTGGATGCTGGTGTAATTCTGAGGCCACCGAAAAGGCTCGAACATTTTTGTGGCTCCAAATTTTGAAGAAGCTCCAAGTCTTGGAGTTTTGATGGATTTCCTATTTAAATACCCTCTGGTAATTTAACATAGCTATTGAATATGGCCATTTATAGTGAGTTTTCCCATTAAAAATGATGATTTTCCATAGTTATGTTAGTTTACCAGAGGGTAAATATATTGTTTGGAGGGCAGTTTTTTCATTTCTTTTCCATCTGAATAATCTCTGGGAGCAAAAATTTGGAACCTACCATCCAAACGACATATCCAAAAATCTGGATAAGGAATATATGATATGATATGATATGTATATAATGGGTAAATCCACTATAAATGGCAATTCTCGATTCAATAGCTATGTTAGTCATAACCAGAGGGTATATGATATGTATATAATTTGACCCGCGCTTCCAATGATTTTGAACAACTGCCCTCCACTTATTTCAATTTGTCGCCTTTCGCATCCATCATTGAGGATCGGGACGATCCTGAAGATTGGCTACAGGCGGAAGACGAAAAACCCCTCAGATAGAAAGTTGAATCCAATTGAACAAACATCTAGGGGCCCCTCTGGTAAACGTTTACATAACTATGGAAAGATCCACCATTTTTTAATGAGTAAATCAACTATAAATGGGCCATTTTCACTAGCTATGTTAAATTACCAGAGGGTAAATGACTTTTGGATCTTTTTCGGGGTTGCGGAATCCCCAATCCCCCCCCAAAAAATTAGAACTGAATAGAAACCGTTTCCCGATGAGAATCGAATATCATTTTTCCCGATATCATTTTTTTTGGGAATGGCCAGCAAACATGACCTTAAAGCAGCAATAATGGGGAAGTAGCCAACAAATCTGCGATACGAACTCTACATTAAACATGGGGCGGGTAGGAACCAACCAAACTGAAGGCTCTATTCAAAGACAGGCGGGGAACGTAGCGTAACCAACGAGCATGCAGCATTGAGATGTATGAATCTATTCTCATGGGATTCCTGGGTGCCCCATGGTAATCCTCAAATATCAATTGTCGCCGGTAGAATCACTTGGGATTTTCATGGTGGGGAGGACATCGATGTATCAAGTCAGGGGTTGGCGAAGATTTCTGGGACGGGTCCCGCACGGCCCATAGAACCCTGAGGAGATGCTGATTGGAGTAGAACCCTACTGGAATGATGGGCGTATTGGGTAACATGATCCGCTGACCACCTTCAGGCTATAAATTTCATGAAGTCCATGGAAGTATAAGCTAGGACCAAATTTCGCGATTTCTGACAGGAACATCCCATTCCAAACAGTTGGATATAGTTGATCAGTTTCATTCCATGATATCCCATTACAAATATATATATATATGTATATGTATATATATACATGTATGTGTGTATATATATATATGTATATGTATATGTATATGTATATATATATATATTATATATTTCATTAAATCCAAATTTATATTCAAACCTTTCGTTTCGTGGGGGCCATGTTAGTCAGGGGATGGATCAGTGGATCAGCTGCCAATTGGAAGCCCTCAATTTGATGGTCAATCACCAGTTTCCAATTAAAATGGCCAATGACTGTGCGTATACTACTATGTTAGATGGTTTTGATGGTTTATACAACCCATTTGTGGTAAAAAAATGTTAGATGGTTATTAAAATGGCCAATGAACAATGTCACAAACATAAACCACCCATGTTTTGATGGTTTATACCGCCCATTTGTGGTAAAATTGGGATGGTTCACTATTGCTTTACTCACATTATTTTCCTAGGAAAAAGTTCAGAAAACCACAGGGTTTTGGGGGTCCAATTTTTTGGGACAACCCCATGGGTACCATGAAATCATGGACAGGTCTCACAGGAAGATCTCGATCGCGAAATGAAGGTGCTTTCGGGCGGGCGGGCGGGCTTTCTGGGTTCACCAGGCCGATTCTCCTCGCAATTTTGGTGCTAAAACGACTGAAGTGGTAAGATTCGGTGTGGATGAGGTGTGGATTTGCCACATTGAACAGAAGGTTTTTCCCAAGGTGAGGACCAGTGAGGACCATCGACATGTTGGAGAGTTTTTCCAATGGGCTGAGGTAAAACATTCACGGAGTTCCTGCCATCCTCAATGATTCTTGCCGATGTTTTGTTGATCCAAACATCCATCGGTTTGGGCTTAGTGTTGGATGAGATTCTTTCACCTTCACTGGGCCTCAGCCAACCAACAACTGGATGGTAATGATTTAATGGGTACCTGGAAGATCTTTTGCCATACATGGTAATCATGGCTATATATATATATACACACACACACACCATGTACACACAAACACAGATATATACATACATACGTACGTACAGTACAGTACAGTACAGTACAGTAGATTAGATTAGATTAGATTAGATTAGATTACATACATAGATGTCTACATGCACCACAGCTAAAAACATCGCATTTCATTTCCAGGGCCCCAAGATTGGAAGCTGATCTTTCCAGGGTCCGTTATCTCTCGCAGGTGCGACAAGCGGAGTTCGAAGAGTTTGATCAGAAACGGCAGTTCCTTGGTGTCTCCAAAGATCTGAAAAGTGCAGGGGGAGACTGCGATTGACATAGACGATTCAGACTGAGTAAATGGAAGGTATTTTTAATTACCCAGAAACATGATGTGGGTATGGATCAATACCTATTAATACCATTTTTAGGGGGATGAACATCCATTTACCAGCTATTTTGATGTTCACCAGGGGGATAGGGTTTTGACCCATCCCCATGTGATTGCAACCGAAGAATTTCTATGGCTTCTTGCGATGATGGATACTCTTTTTTTGTGGCATCAGGGAGTGTTTCCAGGCGACTGACTGTTGATGGAGGGTTCTGGATATTTCGACCATCCTTTGGCCTCAAAAAGAGGCAAACTTTGAACACATCAGCACTCACTGCACTTGCCAAGTATACCCAATCGGTTGGGTATGGGGCAAATTCAATCATACCAAAATGAGCAGAAAGTGTAGCCTCTGGTAATTCAACAGTTTGCTAGGGAAACTCACAAATTTTAAAACATGGTAAAGGTAAATTATCCAACTCATGAGGATCGTCCCATCAACAGCTCCATGTAGGGGATTTCCCAGCCATCACCGGAGGGTACGTCCCCCATTTCTGCCCCATTAAACCCATGTAAGGGGTAAGTCCAACTTGCTCGTTTTTAGGCCCAAGGGCGAAGCCAAGAAGGAGTCGACAGAGAAGGAGTCAGACACGAAGGTGTCGGAGATGACGCAATAATCTGGATGCTTTCATTGTTGGATAATGTTGGATATATATATATAGATCATATACAATCATCCTGAAGTAGATAGAATATGGATTTTTGAAAGACCTGTCCATTTTGGTGTTTTCTATACATACGTATATATATATATATACATATGAAAAATCTATCGTCTGAAAGGGGAACATCAATATTTTTATCTACTCCAGGATGACTACACATAATGTATGTATACTGTATAGATGTTGTTATAGTATACATACATGTATGTATATGTACAAAGGGGGAGACTATGTATATATATATATATACACTTAGCCCATAATGATACGGATTTTCGCCAGATATTTTCTAGCATATATGTATATATATATATATACACATAACTACCCACAAAGAAGTTGGGGGTTTGCTGCAGTTGAGTGGCATGATATATGGGTCCCAGATCAACGTACACCAATAATAATGTGTATTTGAGGCCCAGTAGGCCGGTATTTATTCTCCGTGATTTTAAGACTTGCTGCATGTTGCCAATGTCGAATCGCGGATCATGAATCACTAATACGGCCAGCAACCAAAAAGGAAAGAATCCAGCAGATGCAGTTGAGTGGCTTTCCGAGGATTTTCGATGTATAAGACGACTCGATGTCTTACGTTCTCTTGTTTTTAACACATACCCTCTGGTAAACATACAAAAAACTATGGAAAATCACCATTTTCAATGGGAGAATCCACTATAAATAGCCATTTTCAATAGCACACTGTTAAATTACCAGAGGGTAGATCATTTCTTGGTCACAAAGCCATTGTTTTCTTGGGCATGAGCATCCCGGTTGGTCAGTAACCCAGTGGGACCCCGCTGTGGCCTCGAAACGTGCAAAACTATGGGAGTTTCCATAGCCATGGGGGTACTCCAAGCGAGCATTGGATGGCTTATTTCAGGGAAAATCCAAAAAAAGATTGATTTAGGGGTAGCCTTATTTCAGGCAACCTCCATATATCATCATCATATCATTGAGCAGCTACCATATCATCATTTCCACCATGGACCATCGCCACAACTTCGGGGCTGGCGCGAGGCTCAAAGCGGAGAGCAGGGAGTCTCAGGAGATGCAGAAGGCGGAGATGTTTACCTTGATCCCCTGGAAAATTGTTGTTAGTTCCCCCTGCAATGTGAGGCCCCCAAGATAGCTAAGTTGGTGCAAATAACTCCAATTTCACTATGGTTTATGGTACTTATAACGAACTAGTTACTGGGGCTTATAAACCAACTTATAACTGGGGGGCCTCACATTGTGGTAACTGGGAATATGATTGTACACTATTGTAGAAATACTATGAAATACTGGAACATTGAATGGCATACTGTATTTGACCCAACCATATGGAAAATTTGGATGTGTCTGAGAATGGAAGATGCCCATAAATGGCACTCAATGGAGAAAATGATGATGAAGTAGTTGATTTGGGCCTTGGGCTTTGGGGTTGCTGGATTTTCAGACAGACCCAAATGGTTGTTCATCTCCCCGATGCAGATGGTATCATAGGTTTTGTCATGTTTTGAACCTTGTTTTTAAAATCAAACCACAGATGTTTCAAGATGAAACTATATATATATACACACACCATATATCATTTCTTATTTTGGAGGTGCCCGATTTTGACACGGACTTATTTCGGGGGTGTATCCACTTCGTGCGGATGCGCCATAGACAACATTTTTCGCCAAATTCAAAGATTGTGGTCCTCCAACGACGTCCGTTGCGACCTCCCAGAAGGCACGAAATCTCCGGTATACCGGTGGCACTTGGCTCCCAGCGAAAATCACCCACCACGCCAGCACGTGCCTTCAGCGACTTCCAGGCGGGTTTCGAGAAATTTGAAGCCAAAGGGCACCCCAAAGTCATGGCTTTGGAAATGCGATTCCACCAAAAGAACATAAATTGGAATATGACAAAAAAGAAGCGTTATTGAAACCTGCCCGAAGACATTGCCAATTTGGAATCCCGGGGCCTTCGTCACAAATTTGGGTCAATAGTCAACAACTAGAGGAAATGCGACCTATGAATATGGGATATCTCAGATATCTCCCATCAATCGCAAGATCCACAATTCATAGCAGCCAGAATTTATGGCTTCTCAAGCCTTTCAACTCCCTGAACCACTGGGTCGTGAGGATCTTCGTTTTTCGACCCATCCGAAGAACACTGGGTTTTCCTTTCCGTTCCGAATCCTGAAGGGGCATGTTGAAAACTGTGCAACCAATTGGGGACAGGTGGCTTGTCGTTTCTATCCGAGGGTTTGTTGGTATCAGCCCATTCATATCCCCTATGATTGCCCCCCCTTCATATAAATAAAGCCACGGAAAGCTATTTCCTTCAATAAACATGGGGGACTCAAGGTGAAAAATGGTGATCAAGACCCAATTCATGGCACTTTTTGTCGCCAGAAACCCATCTTGGATGTTCATCCCAGAGGTCAACAACCTTGGATGGTAAGTCCCCGATTTCTGCAATTGTCCACCAGTTACCATTCCTGGGATGGACATTCAAGTTTCATCTAGCCTAGCTAAAATCCGGCAAAACCATGTAAAATCCCTAAATCCAATGGTGTCAAACCATCTTGAATCTCATATTTGCCAAAAATATTTTCCCACTTCTTCGGCTACCCGGCTACCCAGACTGGGTTGTTTCTGGAGACCCCCGGCCTTTTCAGTGCTCGCTTTGCCCAGGCCTCATCTCATCATGGCTCGAAGCGGTCTCGTGACTTTGCTCTGCTGCCTCGTGTTCCTGCGGTCACCTGGCTAGGGAGCCATCGTCACGACGTGGTCCTCCAGTTCGGAATCGCTAAGTTGCTTTATAACTATGGTTATATATGGTTCATGGTAGATATATCATGATATATCGAACTAGTTACTATGGTTATCTATGGTGTACAAACCAACTTCAAACTGGGGGGGCACCACCTTGTACCAAAAGTATGCCGAAATTTTGAGACCTGAGCACCGGCGGTATCCCAAAATTGAATAAACACATTATTAGACTTTTTTCTCACAAGAGATGGAGAGTCAACTTCCAAAGGTGCTCAGCATGACGGCATGTGGAGAAGATTGTCCAACGGAATATTGTGATATTCTCTGGTCAGCGTAGTCGGAGGGGACTGGATCCCTCTGGTTTTTTTTGCCATCGCTGGGAAACTACCAGGTTGGAAGCACCATTTTTGAGATGGATCTGAAGCTTTTTTTTGGAAAAGACACTCAGACAGTTTAATCTACTGGGAAGCTGTATGTATATATATATATATAATGATATACAGGAACATATTTGAGAAGCCTCAGAATCGGCAAAAGAAAATGGAAAGAGGTCCAGCAGTGCTACTCCGATCTTTGACAAATTTTGAGACCTTGGGGGCCACAGATTTTGACCCCTCCCAGTACTTTATCCTCTTTGAAATGTTGGTCGTGTTTGAATTTTCCAGAGTCATCCAGTTTTTGTTGGTACTACTTGCTGCCCGATTCTTGCTGGATAGTTATATAACCCTGCTTTGCATTCGTCCAATTTGGCTGTAGTTCCGCAGGGCGGTTACATTGGAATGCCTCCAGACTGTACTGACCCAGGAGCGCATTGGTAAATACATAGGACATTCTTTGTGGGTCCAGCGGTGCCCCATTTTCAAGAGCCATATTTTGGAAATCATTCGGCCAAACACATGTGCATCCTTTGAGTATCAGGTACCCGAACAAGGCAGTTTTTTGGCTAAACGTTTTGGGGCCGGATTGAAGCCCCCAACGCTTCGCATACTTGGCACGCTCAGGACGTTGACTTTTGTTTCCTTTTCCCCGGCACTCCGTGTGCAACGCTCCGTCAAGGTCTTGCAACAGGCGCGGATGGAGTTGCTTTTTGCTAGTCTGGATGCCTTTCTCTTCTGGTATCTGGATACTGTATAAGTATAAGTAATATAAATTATCTATAAAAGTGAAGCAATGATTTTTAGATACAGTATACATATGTGTGTATATATATATATATACACATACATACACATGTTTGATATTCATATTTCTACGCGTTTTTTTTCCCCAGTTCCCAGCCAGCCTCGTGCTAGGCAACAGCCACCGACGACACCATGACCAAGGTGGGGGTGGGTTATCCAGGGCATTTTCCAGCAGATTTCCGGATCTGGCTTCAATGGTATTTCATATGGTATTTCATATGGCATTTAATGGGATTTAAGAGGGTCCAGTGGGGTACCCCATTCTCAAACAAACCCTTACTTGTAATGGAATTTGGGTACTTCCAGGATGTTTCAGGATATTTCATGTGATAGTTTTGTGATATTTTGTTTGGATAGTTTTTGGGTATTCTTAGGTCAAGACCTATTAACACACATGAATGCGTGGATGAACATCCAGCTATATCATAGCCATGTCCCCTGATGATTCCCAAAATGACAGCTGAAAAACTCTTAGGCTCCACTAATCCAGTTGCCGCCAGCTAAGCCAACGATTGAATAAACCCTATCAATTCATGGTTGCCCGGGTTGGCTCAAAGTTTTGGTGATCATTTCATATAATTTCATACTAAAGAGATCCCCCCATAAATGAACCAGCCCAGGGGTTATGAAAATTCTGTTAAAATTGGAATGGGTTCCACATTTAAAATATACCAAGAAACCCCTTTGGGAAGGTTCCCCAGATATCTTCAGATCAAGCATCATTCATGGGTGTTTCCTAAAAACCCACCACATTTTTGTTGGTAAGATCCCCATCGACAATCCCCATAGAAACACCATCTATGACATTACAAAAACACACCGAGTGTTGGTGGGATAGAATTGAACCAACAATGAACCATTAACACAATAATGTACATCATTAATGGTTAACCCTTGTTTTTTTTGTAACATTATGTTCTCCTCCATAGCTTATTCTAATGATTTTTAAACTTGAAAAAGATGCAAAAAAGGAAGACACATGGAAAATCAAAGCTTCAAAACTGAAAAAACCGGAAGCAAAATAAATGGGGGAAAAACAGGAATGTCAAAAAGGAAAAAAATGGGAAAAAATGGACAAGTCCATTGTTTCCCCATTTTTTCCCTTTTTCACTTTCCTTTTCTTTTCCATTTTTTTCACCTTTTAAAGTGCTTTTGTATTTTTTTTGGATTTTGCTGATTTGCTTTTTGTTTTTTCCATTTTGTTTGCATTTGTCTCGGTTTTTTTCAAGTTTGTTGATTCTTAGAATAAACTATAGTCTGGTGAACATAAATGTAACAGAATAATGTAACACAATAAATTCCCAACAATATCATTAACATTATATTATATAATTCCCAACATTCATAATGTAACACAATAATGTTGGTTAATGCCAATAAATTCCCCATGGTTAATTTGTTAAACCCAATTTCTAAGTCACCATCCCAGGAACCCAGCATTGGGGGTCATTTTTCATTACCCCAACTACTGGTAGGAGTATACCCAACTACCATTGGCTTTGCCACATTCTTGAATATGGATATCCACCAATCATGGCTAAATCTATAGTTTTATCGCCAATAAATACCAATTTATATATATATATATATATATATTATCTACAGCATATATATATATATGTATATATATATGGCCTGGCATACTAATACTAATGGTATAGGAATGGAATATTTTTCAAAACTTGCCAATAAATCAACAACGCAATATGGAATACCAATCAGAAAATCACAATCATGGATATGTTCGGTCATTTTTTAGCATTTTTTTTAAAACAAAAACAGCACGAAATCGGCGTTGTCAGGTGGCCGACGTGATCGCTGAGCAACTGGGCGTGGAAAGTGACAAGGTGACCCGTGAGGTGCTGCATGGGGCTGGCGGAGCTGGGAAGGGCTCGGGAACGATACGATTGTCCGAGAAGATATGGTCAAAAAATGGGGAACATCTGATGGTGAAACATGCGGAAACCATGGGAAACAATGGGAAATTCGGAGAACATATGGGAACATGAAACAAAACATTTGTAGAGATCACGGGAACGCTGTGTTGAAAGAAGGCTGAAACAAGCCATGACACCCAACCAACAGTTTTTTCGGGGCCGAAAGATAGCGAGGAGTTCATCAATGTCTTCACCACAATGGGAGAGTTGTGTCATTGCGGAGAGTTTTTTTTTGGGCAAGACTCAAAGGTGGTTTCAACATGTTTCAACTGGTGAATTGAACACACATATGATAATGACATCCCATGACTGATCGGGGAAGTCCATGTCTGAAATGGGGGTTCTCAAGCGAAGAACCAGGGTCAAAATGGTGAAAAAAAAATGGTGGGTACCTCAAAGTGGGCCCTAAAGATGAAGAACATATTTTGATCCGATAAAGCAACATCACACTAGGCCAAAAAAACAGTGTTTCAGGTTGGTGAGTTAGGACTATTAATTTATCAGTATAGTATACAGTATAGTGATCTATCCCCAATATTTTATGCTTCTATATACCATTAAAAGAACCCACGAATTCACTATTTTTAGCGGCTAATCTCCATTAAGTCCCAGTATATGCCCCATGATATCCTCTGGTAAACTAACATAGCTATTGGCAATGGCCATCTTATTAGTTTATTTACCCATTAAAAATGGGGATGTTCCATTGCTATGCTAGTTTACCAGAGGGTATATCTCATTATTTCCGTAATAATTCCACTATAACATACTATAACCCTATTAAATCCATATAAAATCCCACTAAGTAACCACATTTCTATACGTATGTCAATTCCCATGAAACCACCCTCGGAAATTTCGGAGGCCACCTTGACCGAGTTGGGTGCCGACTCCCTGGACATCGTGGAGTCGGTGTCTCCTGGCAGCAGCCAGACATCGCCAGCCGCCAGCGGCCATCCAAGAAACGCAGGGGATCGCCGTAGTTATAGGGATTTTACATGGATTTTATGAGAATTTTTCACAGAAACATTGAATCAATGGTTACTTGAACATCACTTTCAATGGTATACCATTAAATTCACTTAAAAAATGGTGGTATAGCATTTATCAAGACATGGTTAGATTCAAGGGTCAAAACGGGCAAAATGGCCCAAAATGGCCAATTTTCAGAGGAAAACGGGGCTTTAAACCACGAGGTGTCCCGATGTGACCTGACGTCACCAGCACAGGATGGCCCTGGAAGAGGCATTTGACATTGAGCTCCCCGATGAGGAGCGGCTCTGTGGCGAGTTGGAGCGAACTTATACTAACTTAAGTTACTAACCCCCCAAAAAAGATCAAACAAGTAGTGATGTTTGATGATTTATATATAATTTATATATAGTTTATATATAATATAATTTATATATAATATAATTTATATATAATTTACAACTATTCTCAAATTTCAGATGTTTTTGAAAGTTCGGACGGCAACTCTTCGGCACCTTATTATGGGCGGTTGCTGTAAGTTGTCTGAAAAAGTTGGGCACTAAAGTGAAAACATCAAAGATGCGCCTAAAATCCAGGCTTCAGTTGGGTGAAAGGAGTATGGCTTGATATTTGATGATATTTTTTTTGCCCCCAAATGAGATGATCTGATGAACATCACCAAAACATTGTGGTTCCACGGGCCAAAACTGTGTACGGTTAATCCCAAACCAAACAGATTCTTTGCTTGTCCCATTCCGATTTTATCCCAGATTTCTCTAGAAAAGACACTTCACATTTGTTTTATTCATACTGTACTATGAACAGATTTAAGTTAAGCTTTTCCACATTACCATGAAAATCACCTGCTGTTAGTCTTGATCAAAACCGCGCCTTCCCGAAAAAGGAGACCACGCCGCTGAAGAACTGCGGAGATGTCATGGACCTGATCCAGAGCAACTGGCTTTGGAATGGCTTTGGAATGGGTTTGGAATGGAATTTCTGGGTAAACCTGGGCAAACCTTGATTGAATGATGATAATATATGATAATGATGTTGAATGTGTTTGAATGTGTTGATTCTTGTTGGCACTTATTGAAAAACTTAAAAAAAACTGCAACAGATACGAACCAGCGAAGTTGTCTGTTTTGTTTTGTTGGTAAAGTTCGAGCCATCGCTTGAAAAGGATCGCCATCCCGTTGAAAAGGGCTTGCCATGGCATGAGATGTGATACAACTTCCCGGATTGAACACGAACGACTGGAACGCATGGTATTTTAAAGAGATATAAAGGGACATGGGTAGGTCAATATGCAAGGGCTATGGACCAAACATGTATATAACAGTAACAAGTGTTGGACAACTGTTTTCAGGTTTATTTGGGAAGATCAACGAGTTTTTTTACGCTGACCAGGCTGGGAAATGGTACCCAACATTTGTTTGGCAGGATATCTCCAATTCACCATGTTATGCTGTGGGTCCGTTTTCCAGCTTCGGAGTCAAGTCTTGTGAAAAAACTGGGCTGACTAAAGATCCCAAACTGATGACCCCATTGAGCAAATCCAAGTGATAGAGAAACGTCTGAGAAACGTTTGACAGAAGTTTCTCAGTTGTACAATCTGGGATTGACACAACATCAACACCTGCCCCAAGGCCCACGCGGGTCCTGCAAATGAGAACTCTGTTTTTCACGCGTGTCCAAATTGTCCAAATAGATAGCAGTCGCAGTTTCCCTGATTTTAACTGCCTCCATCGGAGTGGATCTTCGTCAAGATCTACAAAGATCTGGTTCCAATTTTGAGCCATACCCAGTGGAGCAAAACCGCCCCCTCCAAGGCAAGCTTTGAGATGGACGTCCTATGAGCTCCGCTCGCCTGTGCGGGCTGGGATGAAGGATGGAGGCACCGGGGCTCCAGGAACGTTGAGGGTTGAGGGTTGGAGCAATGGTAGACCATGTTTGGAGCAACAATTGCTGGTTGGTGGTTTCAAACATGGCTTTTATGACTTCCATTTCATATATGGGATGTCATCCTTCCCATTGACGAACTCCATCATTTTTCAAGATGGTTATTGCACCACCAAGCAGATTGGGTGTGGTGGCAATTTTTAACAGATATGAAAAGATGATCAAACATATGTAGAATGTACCCTCTGGTAAACTAACATAACTATGGTAAATCACCATTTTTAATGGGAAAACTCACTATAAATAGCCATTTTCAATAGCTATGTTAAATTACCAGAGGGTACACTACTACGCTGTATGTTCCTTTTTGTAGAGGCAGAGGGACCTGCAAGATAGTTCCCGGAAGCCCATGACACAAGGATTTTTTGGCGTTGTGTTCAGAAACTTCGGCCAAATGCCTTCATTTCAATGGGACTTTCAGGACCCTAAAATGGAGGTACGTTAGTACGATTTTTCAGGCCATATTTTGTGGAGGTATTCCCTTACATGGCCCTTACATAGGCCTTATACATGGTACCTCTAGTTTAGGTCCCTGTTGCATGGCCATTGATCATTGATCATTCCAGTGATGCCAGCCCTGGTGAGACCCTGGCAGGACTCAAGACTCGTCTGTGGAGGACGTGTTCTGGAGCGTCATCTCGCGATTTTAAGTGGGCCCACGCGCCAGAGCGTGCGTCCATCGCTTTCTCGTTTTTCCATCGTTCGCCGGTGATCATTGTTGGATAAATATATCGCGTTCGAACGCGTGCTGTCGATGGGTTGTAAAAAGGTGGGATTCCGTCGAACATGGCGCCCGTTTCTGTCGGTGATGTGATCCTCATCGTGTCTGCCAGTTCCTTCGTGCCATGGTTGGAAGCTGCCTATTTGGTTGTAGAGTCATGGAGTTGACCATCGCATGAGTGCACAAGTGGAATTGGGGGGTGCTGCTGTGGGAAGTAGTGGCTGATTTGAATAAGTTGACTTGATAATGAGGAGGACATTTGATGATATGTTTCCTAAAATGGGGGTACCCCCAAATCATCCAAGTCATCAATAACCATGACTTAGTATTGAAACAACCATGGTGACTTGGGGATTCACCATTTTAGGAACCCCCCACATATCAACAATCAAATCACTGTTGTGTGGCTCCGGTGTAACACCAAACGCCTGGCCCGCGCTCAGCGATTATCGCTGCAACGTCGCCCTCTCCCGCGCGCGTCGACGACAACGGTTTGTGCCACTTGGGCTGCAGGGAATGGTGGATGGAAACAGCGAAAGATGATGCACCTGTGGGTCTTGGTTATCAACCTGGGTTCTTTGTGTGTATCTCTACAAATATATATATATACATATAATATGTATATTATATGATTGTACATATAGGTAGAGGCCAATTGGTTTATCCTTTGCATAAGGCATAAATAGAGGAATACAAGACATGAGCCACAGCCAAACATCAACCCAAATTGGGTATCTAAGATTGGCCTATCGATTGGCCTGGCCACATCAACCCAGTGGACGGATCCATCAGCTGGCTGGTTGCTTTTTGATGAGTAGCTCTTGTAATTCATTAGGATCAACATGCATATTATTATTAGGATCTATTCATGTTGATATTCAGGATATTCTAATTATCCTATTAGGTAATAATTATGTTAGCAAATTATGTTAGCAAATTATTAGGATCTAACATAATTATCCTATTCAGATTATCAACATGCTTGTTTTGATCAGCAAATGATTGCTTGTTTTCATGCACATTTAGACATTGATGCAGCAAGATTTGGGAGACACTTGTCCAACAATCCGAGGATGTCCTCGTTGTTCTTCGATTCAGAAAGAGGGGTCACCCCATAACATCACCTCGTGAATGAGAATATTTTTTATCTGCCAAAGTGGTACCCTCTGGTAAACGTTTACATAACTATGGAAAGATCCACCATTTTTAATGGGAAAACTCACTATAAATGGCCATTTTCAATAGCTACGTTAAATTACCAGGGGGTACAACTGGCCCTGGAGTTTTTCCCCATCAAAAATGTTCTCGGTGTGTCCTGAATAGACCAGATCATCCTCTGGTGAATCCTCACCCATTTTCAGACAATATATTCCCATCAGATATTCCCGTATATCCCCACAAATTTCAATCTATCCCGGATTATATGCCCACATTCATATATATATATATACATATCATATATCCATTACAATAGCCTTTTTGGATTCTTAAATCCCTTATGTTTGCTGGTTTTGAAGCCATGTCTGCTTGGTATTCCCCATGTTTTCTCGCAGAAAAAAACCCACGATCTTTCAGGCCATGGCTCGTTCTTGGGGTGTGTTGCTCTTGGGCTTGATGCTCTTCAGGCCGGAACTGCGGGGGTCAGGCGGAGGGCTTCATGATGTTTAATGAGTGTTGGTGGCAGTAAACAACTGGTATATCATTTTTTGATGATCTATTTCTGAGAAAGGTGGTTTGGAACATGGCTTTTATTTTTCCATATATTGTCTTGGAACCATTCATCTGTTGGTCGTTGTCTTTTTTTCATTTCCCGCATGATTGTTGCATTTGATCAATCATTGTCATCATCATTGTCATCATCATTGTCATCGTGATGTGATCATGTGATCATGTGATCATGTGATCATGTGATCGTCATCATCGTCATCATCGTCATCATCGTCATCATCGTCATCGTCATCGTCGCTGTTATGCGATTATGTTGATCTGGCCGTCGAAACTCCTTTTGATTTCCGGTTTCTTTTGTGGGAATCCTGGGGATGGCCCTACCAAAGCAATAAACCTGAATCAGGAGATTTCAATTTCAATCATTTGCGCCTAAGATCCTCTGATCGTGATCTTCTTGAAGGCATGCATCCCAAGACATTGTTCACTCATGTTCACTTCCCATATCTTGCCACCCATGCGTAGAACATGATTGTTGATAGTGCCATGGATGTCCGTTTCTCACTGGTTGCTTGATAAATAGAGGCTTCCCCCATGAAAACCACCCAATAGGATCCAATAGGTAGATAAGAATTTAGAATCATTTAGATAAGAATTTAGATAAGAATCTAAATTTTCTAAATTTTCTAAATGTTCTAAGAAATTAGATAAGAATCTTATTATTATTTAGAATAATTTAGATAATTTAGAATCATGGTTAGTAAGGGAAATCATCCCCAAATGGCCTCAATTCAGGTTAGTGAAATATTATAATTTACCAAGATATATTGCAAACCGGCCCCTCGATTTTTTCTTAGGACAGGACGCATTCGCTCCGTGCCGAGGACGCTGAGCTTCGTGTCCTTTGCTCCGCAAGTGCCACGTTCCGTGAAGGTCCTGCGGCAGGCGAAACGGCGAAAGATTGGATGAGAATCCATGGGAACTGATCCCATGGGAAATCCTATGGGAAATCCATGGAAAATCCATGGGAAATCCCATGAAAATATTCCATTTATATGAATGGATTTTTCCAAAAATGGATCATAATGGAATGGAAATCCCACGGGAAACCTATTTTTGCCATTTGCGGGAATTCATTTTGAATGAAATCAGGAATTACAATGGGGACATCTGCTACTTTATGTTTGGGAATGACATGGGGATGTTTGATGAGAGATATAAGTGATGCCCGACGAACTTAGGAACATGTTTGGGAGCTACCATTTGACACTATTAATAGTTGAGATTGACGTCCTACGCGTTTTATTTTCTCTTGAAACAGTCTGATGATTCCCATTGACAAGCATTTTTTCAAAGGGTTTGAACTACCAAGCAGTGATGATCACCAAGTCAAAAAAACAATGGCTTGAAACCATATTCAAAATGACTTGCCTCCCCAAAGAAATGGTTGGTTGAATACTAGAAACAACCGAATTTGTGAGCCCCTTGATGCTCCGGTTGGGGTCCCCATACCCATTTTGCATGGGGAAATAGGGCTGAAAGTGAATGGGCGGAAGAGAATTTCGACACATCTCCAAGAATTTTCAATGATTGAATACAATTTTTTCTTTTACTGTTTTAAAGGTTTCCATCCAACAAATAGGATGATGACCCCAATTGACTTCCAACAAAAACAACATTCGGGGACTGAAGCCACCAACCAGCTAGGCAACGGCAACGGACGACACCATGGACAAGGCATGGCCGAATCCTAATAGGAGGTCCCATAAATGGCGGATAGCTATAGAATGGCAGTTTTCCAAACAGGACAAGGAAGGTTTTAAAGCAAGAACGGAACTGGGTAACCTATTTTCAGACAATCCGAAACCACCACTTGTAAATACTACCCCTAGCCTCGAGTGAACTACAGTAACACCAATATGGCAGTTGATCCTTCAGTTGATCCTTCCGGCCCATTAAGCAACGAGGTAAGTGTACGTAAGTGTCGGAGTATTGGTGCATCTAATGATAAAAACAATAATATATAATGATATAATGATATATATATATATCATGACCAATGACTAAATAGATTCGGAAGAATGACAATGATATTATGTGAATCAGCGAGTCATATATATATATATATATTCATAAAATCACTCTCTCGCTCTCTCTCTCTCTCTATATGTATATATATATACTGGTTGGTGGTTTGGAACATGGCTTTTATTTTCCCACATATTGGGAATGTCATCATCCCAAGTGACGAACTCCATCATTTTTCAGAGGGGTGGGCTCAACCACCAACCAGTATAGATATAGTTGTATCACTAATATAGAAATATATATATATACATACATATACATATATATATATATTACTGTATATATATATATATATTCTAATATTGGTGATATGTATGTACAGTATCATCCCAAAAATATGGCCCGAAAAGCCCAGGTCGCAGGGGTCATTGCGGAGCAACTGGGGGTGGAGAAGGACAAGGTCACCCGGGAGGCAGTGAAACGGCGCCCGGCCGGCGTGTTGGCAGGGACAGTGTCTGACAAGGACAGTCCGAGCTTGTCAATGTTCATCATATAACCATATATAATCAGTATTTGGTATTGTAACCACAATTATAATCACTATATAATCACTATTATTGGTATGTCACCATATATAATCACTGTTTTGTTTCTTTTTAAAAGCTTTGTATATATGTAAAATAAAACATGTATATACATACCTTGGGGTCTCGCAATATGTGTATGTATACGTATGTATAGATGTATGTATATGATAACAAAAACAACATAATCATAAGTATAATTATGTATCCGTATTTCTAGTTGCAACTACTGAAAGGGGACAAGCAACTGGATCCTTGAGTGGTCTCTATGCCTGTGACGCTGGAACAACCGTGCGGGCTTTTTGAAACTAGACGGAAATGCCAAAAGATGAAATTGAGAGGACTTTCCAAAGCTAGGTCACCTGGATTCATTATCCGTACATATATGTATATATATACATATTTATATGAGTACTTATATATATATAATATATATATATATGTACTTATATTTATATGAGTACTCACTAGATCGCCATTCAACCACCCTCCGAAAAAAACGGGCAGGCCACCTTGACCGAGTTGGGCGCCGATTCGCTGGATATCGTGGAGTCGGTGTGACTTGGCGCGTGGCTTTTGATGGTATTCGGCTGGAGGTTTGGACATGTTTTGACCATCAGAGTCTAACCAGGAAAATCTATGACTTTACTGGAAAGAACCACCCAGTTTTTTTTTCCCGGATCTGAAACCATCCATCTATTGCAAGGGTTGATTGATATGGAATGGTTTCAGATCCCAGTGAATGGCTACAAATTGGGTTTTAGATCCTAATGATTGCAATCGTTGATTATATAATTAATTAATAATACCCTCTGGTTATTTAGCAGAGCCATGGTATAGATGGCCCATAGAAATAGATGGTTTATCTATTAAAAATGATGATTTTCCATGGCCGATGGATCCAGAAGGGCCGGTGCGCAAAGAAAGTCGCTCTCGGAGACACCCCTGAATTTTTTTTGGTCCACAAAGCTTCAACGGTTTAAGCAGGATGGTCATCGCAGTATATAGCAGTTTTCCTAGTTGACCATCCTGCCCCATTGGACCAATTCCGGGAAAGTCAATGACCACTCACCACTAGATAGGGTTTGTCTGCAAAAATAGGGGACGAGATCAAGTGGTAAAATATCGTCATACACCCTATTTTTGCCTGAGCTATTTCCCCTACAGCCAAAGTTGGATCGCCACCAGGATGGCTTTGGAAGAGGAATTCGACATCGAGCTCCCTGATGAGGAGCGATGGCGAGGAAAACTAGAGGCTAAGGATGTGATGGCTATGGACCAAAGATAGCTTGAGAATGTCTGGAAATGAACCATCCATTTTTTTGACCAATCGACTAATTCGTAGGGGGAAGTCTTTTGGGTCAACTATGGAACGGTTTCTTAATCCCAACCGCCAAGTTTTGGTGTGAACACATGTGAAGTTCACAGGAGCTCCGTGGGTGTTTGTACTGGACGGAGGATCGTTCTTTTTCACTGAGCAGCTAGCGTATTGCCACTTAGCGTATTGCAACCATAGGTTGGTTCACAGAAGTTCTAAACCTCTGGTTATGTCAGAATAGCTATTGAAAATGGCGATTTATAGTGGATTTTCCCATTAAAAATGGTGGATCTTTCCGTAGTTATGGGACAGTTTACCAGAGGGTAAACCTCGTGTCGTAAGTTGTTGTGCATTTTTTCTCAACGCCAGGTTTCACCCTTTTTCTGCGGACTCCAACTAGTGATGGCAGGAGACCACCCCGCTGAAGAACTGCGGAGATGTCATGGACCTGAAACTTGGGAGGAAAAAGCAGCCCATTGGGGGATTGTAGCAACCCTCCAAAGGTCGACAAGTAAAATACCAAGGGGAAAATAGTGAGAAAGTACTGGAAAACGACTGTTCATGACTTTTTTTTAAACATCTTTTTGGGAGTGCTATATACCAACCAAACATGGCTATTATTATTGGACTTCAAGCAAGAAACATGGAGACTGATGCCACCAAAATATTCGGAATTTCCCCAAGAAAAAACATGATAGTAGGGACCCACCAGAATTGGGATGAAATATCTATCAAGAGCTAAGGACTGAGCCTATGATTGACCGCGATGGGCGACAACATATGGGACCATAATGTTGCAATTTATTAGGGGAAGTGGAGATGCAAGCAGCAAAGTGGCTTTGTCACCATCAAAACGGCCGAAACTCAGGATCCAGAGCAAGCTCTGAACATCGAGAAAGTTGCAGGCGGGTCCAAGCAGCTTGGGAAGATTTGGCTGTGAGACCTTCCGGGCCGGGTGAAAATCCTTGGGTCAAAAACGATCAATTGGACATTTACCAGCAAAAATCAGAAGGGATTTGACTACCAGGAAATCATGAGGGTGTCCAACTATTGCTGCGGATTACTTTATGTTATTTGTAGATTTTACTCGCTATTTACCAACTGTAATTGGGGACAAGTAGAGTTTGGACCATCATGAAATTGGGAAGTCTAGGCAAGGTGACTCAGTCCGACGGGTGGCAGCACCTAGATATCAGCCATAAATTGCCCAGATGTGCCACGGTCAAACGTGGGGTGAGAGTTCGTGCAGTGAACCTGACACATGCCTCGCGTCAAACGTTGGATTGAATACTCATGTTGGGGGATGATCATCAATTCATTAACAGGGATTTAGATACCCATTGATTCCCTACTGATGGTGGGATGACTACACCCCATATATTGCCCAGATGGCTTTGTTCGAAATGAGGGGGTACCAACATGGCACTTACCCAGCTTGGGATTTTGGCCATGTAGTGGCATATACGATGTTTTTCTGAACTCCAGTTGGTATTGGTCGAAACTTAAGCCCCCAAAGTTTGCTTAATGGCCATCCGAACATAGTTTAGCTTGTTCTTCTTTTTCGGTCTTCACTGTAGTTCTCTAATAATAACACTACGAGCAATACATATATAATACGTATGTATATATATATAGACATACTACTCTTGCTAAGAACTGTGATAATGATGATAACAACACTAGCAATAGGTACAACGGTAGTATTATGTATAAATGTAAACATATGTATACATATATATATATATATATGTATGCCTGTATATGTACACATACACAAGAACCAGCTAGTCGTACAAGAGTTTTACTCACCCCTGCCTCATTTGGTCCATTTCATAATTTGATGTGTATGAAAAGCCACATTCCCCCGACAAAGGGAGTAAACATGATAGGGTTGACAACATTACCAATTAGGATGATTTCTCATTAGTGATCCGCAGCATGATATGCGCGCGCACACATAATGTAATATATATATATGTTTATGCACAGTACATACCTACCTACCTACCTACCTACCTACATACATACATACATACATACATACATACATACATACATGTATATTTATAATTATACTCCCAAAAAGATAGAAAAGAAATTCACCAGTCTCTCAGTGTTTCAGGACTGCACGGCGCCGCCGCGCCGCTGGTTCGATCCTGCGCGGGGAGCGCCGGCAGCGCCGGGAGCACGGCAATGCGCTGCCACTGCTTCCGGGGTCACCTGAAAAGTGGATGGCGTAAGTCTCTGAATGTAGATCTGTATGTATATATTTGTATATGTATATATAGATCATACATACACATACATAAGTCACTGAATGAACATTTGACACATGTTGTGATATGTATAGATATACTCTGGCGGCTCTGTCACATGGTTTACCAGTCCGACACCCACGAGTCCAACTTTCAGGTGGCGTATGGTTGTCTCTTTTTTCCAGTTGGGCAGGTTTGTGGATGACCCTTTAGAGTCACAGCCGCCCGTTGAAGGTTTGGCCCGGAAGGCATGAGATGTTTTCGCAGAGAAAAAGGGTGTGGTTGGTGAAAGACGTGAAGAATTCGTGAGGAACCTGAGGAATCCCTTGAGATGTACCCTCTGGTAATTTAACATAGCTATTGAAAATGACCCATTTATAGTTGTTTTACCAATTAAAAATGGGGATTTTCCATAGCTATGTTAGTTTACCAGAGGGTAATGGGTATACAGTGAATACATCCATTGGCCGCGAATGGTCACCTACCTACATAAAAAGGTCACTGTGGAAGGCCCGTTTACGTGAGGAAACATAGATTCTCCGGTCAGCTGTACCTGGGCTTCTGACGCTTCTGACTGGAATACTTGGGATGTATGACAGACATGAATCTAACTGAGGTAACAATCAGATTCAATCAAACTTGTACTTTTGAACTAAACAGCAAAACTCGAATGTGCATCAACCAAACATGGGGTTTCAGGACATTTGTTTTTGATATTTTCTCATTTCCACCCTGGTATCATGAATTCCAACCAATCACCAGTAGTTTTCAGCCGAATGGGGTGCCAATGAGTAGCCACTGGCTCCTCTATGCAGCAAAGGACATGGAATCATGGAATCCCGATGCTGCTGAAGGGCTTCGTTTGCCAATTTTGTGGGAAAAAACAGACTAGCCAAGCTAAAAAATGGGGGCTTCAAAAGTTGAGGACATAGGTAACCTGGTTTTGTTCAGGTAATGGCTTAATATTGTGTGCCAATCTTATGGCTAGCCAGCCAAAAATTAGCTTCGGTTGGGTCTCTAGTCTAAGACTAGCGCAGTATGGCGGCGCGGGAACCACTCAGAGGAGCGGTCAACCGGCCCGTGTCGAGCAGCAGTGATGGTAAATGGTGGTCGTTTACTGCTGGTGGTAAACTGTCGTTTGAAACCAGAACTCGTCGTAATTTGCAAAAGTTTAAACAAATACACAGCAGATTTGTTTCAACATGATTCACAGTCATTTCCAGATACGTTCATTGTATATATAGCAAACATGATTAAAGGAACATTTGGAGACGGTCTGTTCGGAGATTACTATCTTAGTGCCCTTCGCCAAATGAAATGGTTGAAGACCAACATTGACCAATTTTGTAAGTCTATTGAATCCCTAATTCTGGCCCTACTATATATACCATCATTTTGCATCATTTTGCCACTGATTGGCACACCTATGATCTTTGATACCCACAGAGGTTTCTTTCGTTTTCATGGCATCTTCTTTCAGTGAGAGGATGTGGGTGTGTATATTTAGGGATCTCATTTTCAGACAAACCCAAATATGCCGTAAAATCCATCTTGTTGCTGATGTCTCCCATGATCAAAAGCATTTTTTTCCGTAAAAACCCCACTGATCTGCCAGGAGCTCCGTCTGATGGCACGGCTGCTCCCTTATCTGCCAGGTGCGCTTTCTGTTTTGGGACGGTGATGTTTCTATGGGAGACCAGTGGTTCCGCAATGGACTCCGGCCATTGATGGTTTTGGCATGGGGATTCCCGTGGCTGTTGAAAACTGGTGAGGCCGATCAAGACTTTGGGAGCAAGTACGGCTCACCAGTAATTTCTGCCATGCCGTGGAAAAAAATCAAAGACATTCGTTTTTATAAAATATTTCAAATCATGAAATGAAACATCAGAAAACCTCTGGTTTTCTGACAGTTTGCTATAGAAAATCACCATGCTATTACCATTGGCTTCCATGGCTTTCATTGAATCCTCAGATTTGACCATTAAAAGCTGGGGGGACCATTTTGAGACACAGCAATGGTAAGCATGCCACTGGATGAAGGATACATTACACACACATATATATATATATACATATCGGTATATATATATATATGTATATAAATCACTCATATAACTATACAAACTATACATGTACAAAAATGATTGTCCATCTACATGTGCACACATATACCTCCACATATCTCCACATAGATCTACATATTGTATCGGCCATGTTGACTCAACGGCTGATCGTCAGGCTGGCGGTACTGAGTCCTGTGAACAGCTTCCAAAGCAGCGTTGCTTGGTAGATCGATCTGGATCACGACTGTCAGAGGTGGTCACTTTGTACTGGAGATGTTGCAGTATTTTTGATGTGAAAACTGGTGATCGTGATTGAGTTTATATATGTTCTTTTTGGCGAACACCACCGATTATAAAATCAAGTTATCATCATTTGTAATATGTATAATTCTAAACAATATATCTAGATGAAGAATGAACGATATTATAGTATAGTTAATATACAGACATATTTTATATATTACCATACAAGATATAGTTTACAAGACATATTCTGCTTGGTGGTTTGAAAGTTTGGTGACTATGTTTGATAACTTTCTCTAAAAAAATTGGGTGAATGAAATCATCCCAAGTTGGTGGTTTGGTGTCCATGAATCGAGTCATGGGACCATTTTAAGAAGCCGTTGGATGGTGAATGGAAGTTTAGCGCTATGGGGGGATGATGACAACATGATTGAAAAGGACAATTCCACTAATATGTGGACAATATATGGATAATATCTGGATAATATATATATATATAGTAAGTCATGATATTGAAATCATGATGGATAATACTAGTAAATAATGATTAAATAGTGGATAGATAATTATATCACTGATCTTGGTAAATCATGGATAATAATGATAATATTTTCGCTACCTTGAGTTGCTATTTCAAGGGCCTTTACAGCATCAAAAGAATGTGAGCCATGCCGCGTCACGGGGTCCCAAGGGTCCCAAAACGATGAGATCGCGATGAACGACACCCTGGGATGACCTAGTTGAAAATTGTCAAGAGAGGTAGCCTAGGATGGGCAAAACATGGTAAACTGATTGGTGGTTTGGAACATTTGTTGTTATGACTTCCATTTCATATATGGGATGTCATCCTTCCCATTGACGAACTCCATCATTTTTCAAGATGATTAAAACCACCAACCAGTAAAGAATGAAGAGAGGGTGAACATGAAAAACACAGCAACTTAAAACTTTATCATAGATTTTTTTTATGACCCGAATGGTAGTTGGGTCAACCATTATCAACGATAAAATAAACATAGCAGTAGCCGTAGCCCCCAAAAAGATGATTGTTTGTCATTGATTATCATTGAGATCATAATAGTTATCATCAATTGGTCATGGTCAATTTACGGCCCAAAAAACATCGATCCTAAACGAAAACGAACCACCCAGGTGGAAGGGCTGGTTGCGCCGGTGCTGCAACTTGGTTCAATCCTGTGATTTTTTGTTCACGGAGCACGGGGGAGTTTCCCCAGCCATTCTTCGGTCAGATCTTTTTTAAAAGGATCATCAAAAAAACAGCATTTTTCTAAATGGGATAAGTAGGGTTAATCCACTGAAATCACTGGGGTGAACTAAGCCACTTTTTTCATAGGTAATGGCTGATCAAGGTAAAATCATTGGCCATGGCTACCTCGACCTGGCGTCCTAGGAGAAGGCTGACCTCCCAAGAGACGTACTACTGCCAGATCTGCCTCTGCAACTGTCCCGCCAGCGCGCCTCGTTGCTGGTTGTGGTTATCCATCGCTGGTGCATGGCTACTGTGTTTTTGTTTTTTTCCCCACTGTGTCCCATAGTGTTTTCCAGTAGCCAGATGAATGATCGAGCAATATATCCACGTCTGATTTTTTCGAATCCATAAGTTGGATTTTTTTTGACAGATTCAATCTGGCCCTATGGATGCTTTTTTGGTATCCCACAACAAATAGTGTTTTTTTTGAATACTGGGGTGCTAGGCCTCACTATGAGACGAGTGCTTTAGAGCCCTGATAGTAGTTGCCTTGTTCCCATTTGACTTGCTAATTTGGGGGTATGCCCAATTTCAGTACAATAATTTCATGCACACCCACATCCTCCCACTGATTCTTTGAGAAGGGTGCCATCAGTCCAGAGAAACTGCGGTGAGAGCCAGACAAACATCAAAGATTCGCCAGGTAAATTTCTCAACCTCCCTTCCGCTATGGGAAAATGATAGTGCAGTTGGGCCACATTTAGCGATTCAATGGACATACAACATTGGTCAATGTTGGTCTTCAACCATCCATTTAGGGAAGGGCACTGATGTGGTAAACCGCAAGGCCTTTCCTGTTCCCATGATCGGCAAAACAGGGTTGCTCCAAGCCATTGTAGGAAAAACATGTACAAAGAGGAACACATCATCAAGGATATTCCCTTACATAGGCCTTATATAGGCCTTATATATGGTAGGTTCCTCCAATCAATCGGTTCCCGTTGCATGGCCATTGGCATCGGTAGTTTTACCTCTATATTCCCCCAACCCAGACGTAGGTGGCCCGTCTGCGGTCTGAGGACGGTTTCCAGTTGTCCAGTTGCAATCACCTCTTCTGCAGCCACTGCTTGCGAAGCAGCCGAGCTGAAAGAGGGGGAAGCGAACTGGGAGATTCTTTGGATTTACCCGGCCTGGTAAACGTTTACAGTTTGCGAACTGGAACATGGCCATTGAAATAGTGAGTTTTCCCATTAAAAATGGTGATTTTCCATAGTTTTTTGTATGTTTACCAGGCCGGGTAAATGGATTCAATATGATTTGAGAATTTCCTCAGGATATGAGGATTGAACCAATAGATAACGGATGATATCTGGATTGAACCAATAGCGACCGCGTTTTGCGACGTCATTGGAATGATGGTCATCTTCTCCGAAGTATCGTTTTTTTTCTCCCAGTACTTTCGGAAGACGATTTCAGGCAGTATAGTTCGGAGGTTTTGAGATATTTCAAATAGATTTGACATATGTTTTTAAGGTTCAGCTAACGTTCAAAGAATGTTCAAAGGTTATCTAACCGGATCTAACCGAGGTTATGTGGACACGAGGCTCGCTGAGGCCTCGGGGTGCGGTTCTGGGGCCATGGCACCCCCCGATGGTTGTTTTGTTTTTGCTGACGTCGTCCAATACGGCCCCGGGGAATTTGCTAGTTTTTAACAAACATGGGTCGGGGTGGGATGTTAACGTTCATGGTACGCTGATGATGTTACGCTGCCCGCAGGGGTTGGGGTGGGGTGGGGTGGGATGTTAACGTTCATGGTACGCTGATGATGTTACGCTGCCAGTAATTTGGTTGGGGTGGGTGGGGTGGGATGTTAACGTTCATGGTACGCTGATGATGTTACGCTGCCCGTAGGGGTTGGGGTGGGGTGGGGTGGGATGTTAACGTTCATGGTACGCTGATGATGTTACGCTGCCCGTAGGGGTTGGGGTGGGGTGGGGTGGGATGTTAACGTTAATGAAACGCACGCTGGCCTTGCAAGACACTTTCAGGCTGCAGTGTCAGAGATGTGCTTTCCTGTAAGTCTAGATATTTCTGATGGTCTCGAATTTATATGTATATGTAGATATATATATATATGTGTGTGTGTGCATGTCTGTGTGTGTCAGGTTACACATATATATATATATGGATATAAATAAATATATATATATATATACTTGCATATATGTACATAAGAATCAGTGTACATGTCCAAGTATGCAAGGTATGTGTCTATGTCTGGTCTATCATGTATGCAACACGATCCTAACATATTGCTGGCTTCCAAGCGTTTTTTTTTCGCTGATTTGCACATGGACTTGTAAAACCCATTGGAAATAGCACAAAACGGACACAAAGTGCTGTAAAACGCATGGCATTTGAACATGGCGCAAAATCCATGGTGACAGAAAGTGCCATAAGGGTTATCGAAATAGCAAGATGCTTGTTTTCAAAACAAACAAAAACAGCGGGACCGCAATGGACGACGTTACCTTGTTTTGACCAACAGAACTGGTGGATTTTTGCCGCAAAAATTGCGATTTCGTGGGGTTTAAGCACGAAAACTTGGGGTTGAAGCAATCAAATTGGGAGTGGAACTTTGGAGCCCAACATTGTGAATTGACCCAGCAATAAAACATGGATGTCATCATCAAATATATATGGGAAAACAACTGGTGATTTGTTACTTTCAAAAAACTGTTTGGCAACGTTTACCCGCAAGAATGATGGGTTTTGTCCACCAAAAATGCAATACGTTCAACAAACAGGGATGGAACTGATGGTTAAACTATGTTAAAATTGTCTGCTTGGTTGTGTCAAATGTTAGAGTAACGACCAGTCAACGGTATCAATTATTACTGTTGTATGAAAATATATTAAAATAACAAATTGGGATTTCGCCAAGACAAGTGGGGATGTACAACCAATGAATCTGCTTCCACCAGGCAGCGCTGTATGGCTTGCTGTGCCCCTTTCTGCCGGATTTTCATGGGGAGGGAGGCGCGCAAACCGCGCGGATACTGATGGTTGAGGTGGGTGCTTAGATATCATGAGTTGGAGTAAATATATCGACATGAATATGATGACATGTTGTGATTATGATACATACATACAGTACAATACAATACAATACAAATACAAATACAAATACAAATACAAATACCATACAATACAATGCAATGCAATACAAATACAACACAATACAACACAATACAATACAATACAAATACAATACAATACAATACAAAACAAATACAATACAATACCATACTATACCATCCCATACCATACAATACATTACATTACATTACATAGTTACAATGATTAATGTGCATATACATATATATGTATGTATTCACACTAGTATATAAATCAATATATGTATACATAATCTTCATCTTACAATGGATTCCACGGGGCAGAACGCCAGGTTTGAGCGCCGGCTGTGCCACGGAGATCCCCGACGAGGAGGTTTTGCCGTTTGGAACGCGATTCGATGATTTGGGGATGCTTAAAATAAAGAGATGGGTATACCCCCAATGAAATAGCCATTTAGTAGGGATAATGATCAGCAAAACCATTGGGTGTAGGGGTACACTATTTTCAGACAAATAAAGAGATTAAAAAGTGAAGCAACAAAATACCACAAAATCATCCTGAATCACATAAGTTGTTTCATACCAACATAAACTGTTTTTGGCAATGTGAAGGTAAAGACTGGTATTTATGTAGGGAGCCACGGCAAGTTTGGTTGCAGAAAACGGCTGATTTAGATTCCGGTGGATGAGTCCGATGACAGGTGCAGCGCTTGTGTGGGGAGGAGACCTTAGCACAACTTCAACGCTTCAGGCCAGGTTCCCAGTTTTAGTGATCCCATGGAGTTTCTAAAATGGTACTAGTGATAGGGATAAATTATGATAAATTGCTATCTATCCCATCCCCATCCCCATCTAATGGATAAAATCCCAGTTAAAAAGTGATTTTTATCACTATGAAGTAGTTGGTTTTTCGTACCCTTCATGTGCAACAGGGGACCATCACCAACAAAAACCGGGACTGACCCGAAACGGGGGATTGCACCATCTTCCGACGCTCCAAGATGCTCCAAGTTTCAGCCTGATCTATACATGTCCATCCATATTATTGATGGCTCAATTGGCAAGAATCTGATCTTATTCTAGCCGGTGAATTCCCAACCTGTGCTAGCTGTAGAAAGTTGTAGAATAGAGTTGATTGTATGATATAGTGTATATATATATGCTATACATTTCAAACATCATATAACATACATATAACATACATATAATACGTATCACATCGTATCACCATTTTTCTTTGGTGACTCCAACTTTTTGTGCCTCTACGGTCCCATGACCAAATTCTGCGATCCAGGGCCATGAGACAAGACGAGACTTACCGGGAGTGCCCCTCCTGTCAGGCACGCTGAACGGTCTGAACGGTTTACTCGGGACTTAGTGACTTGATGGGCCCGGTTTTAGTAGCTTCGTTTTCCATTGCCATCTTTGGTAAAGGGTCGGACTTTTGACCATTCAAAAAGAAGTGAAACACTCGGAATGTTTCAGGGAAACATCGTTCAATGACATGTTTCCCCCCCATTTCCCATAGATTTGACGTTCTCCCGTGGAACCTTGGTTGGGGTTCGCACCGCAGGCGCGCGTACTGGGCGGTGGGCCCGGAAGGCGGCAACGTACCCTGACGTGCCCCCAATGCCGCTCGGCCGAAGTGGTCTGCGATGGGACCTGGATTTTGATGGGTTCAAGGGGTTAGCAACAGCACTGACGTTTTTTTTTTTCACTTTCGGACAACCAATATTAATTTTAGCGTCGCTGTTGTTGTTGTTGTTCTTACTATTATTCCTTTTTTTCTTAATTATTACAGTATTATTCTTCTTTGGTACGTGTGGTTTTTCACCTTCACAATTTTGGGGATTCCAAAAGCACCATATGCATCCAAGGAATGGTAAATTGTTGCTACACTGAATATATAACCGCAAAACATATCCGAGTGAGAATCTTGGGCCAGATCATTTTAGGACAAAATTTTGAAACTGACCCAGTTTTCTGTTAAATTTCAATGATTGGTGGTATTTTCCAATCTTGGTTGGTTCTGAGACGCACCAATCCAAGGTTCTCTGGTCTTCTGCTTCAAACATGCGAATGCGCATCCAGGCATTGCCGGGGCAAAACCTTTGTTTCGCCACAAGAAACTGAACCCAGGGTTCAAAAACCACCTTTCAATGCCAGGGATGGAGAATCTCCATTCATTACATATATATATATAATATATATTATTTCATGTTTTGGTGGTGTCCCAACAATTAGATCACCGTAATTCATCCATTGGTCTATCATCATTTTCCCATTACATACATCATTATACATCATTATACATCATTATACATCATTATACATCATTATACATCATTATACATCATTATACACATCCATGCAACGATTCCACGTGTTTTTTTCCTCCAGATGGTCCCACCACCGGCGCTGCTTCGACAGATTCGCCAGGTCAGTCCTGTTGGCAGTTCGAGATGATGCATCGCTTGACGCAGCTGAAAGCAGCGGTGCTCATGGCCACGGTGAGCCGACGCTGCCCCAGCTGTAGCCACTGGGCGTGTGCCATATATGGCCATTGGGTTTTTTTTGGCGATGCTGGTGAGTTGCGGTGGTTTTTTTTTGGGACAAACTGAGATTTCGATTGATTGATATTTCTGTCGGATGGGATTACACAACTTATAACTGGAAGTTGGACCAGTTTCGTAGAGTATATAAAGTTCAACTTGCAACGATTCGCGGCTAAAATTAGGGAAAACTCCGAAGATTTGATGAGTTAGAGTCTAGACAATCATTTTCTGCATGATTTCATAATCATAACTTGAAGGATCCATCCCACATGTTCAAATCAAAGCCTGGTGGTTGGGTTGGGAATAAATGGGGTTGCCATTTTGGACAGCAGAGTATCTTGGATGATCGGACTGCAGGACTGGTAAATCGGGGTGGCATGGACAGTAAGTCTATGTCAGTCTCACTGGGAAAAATTTGAGTGACATTTGAAAAATTGTCATGAAAACTATGACTGGCAAGTTGACTGGGAAAACTATGTAAACATTATGTAAGTCATTGTACCCTCTGGTAATTTAACATAGCTATGGAAAATCACCATTTTTAATGGGTAAATCCACTATAAATGACCATTTTCAATAGCTATGTTAAATTACCAGAGGGTAAGTCATTGTAAGTTTCAAATCCCAGTCTCAAAACTTGTTTCATCCTGGGATGGTCATCCCAGTGGGTCCGACGGCAGGCATGAAGATCATCAAGGACTTCCAGCGGAAGTTTTTTTTGATTTTCTCAAGCAAAACATGTTGAAACAAAGGTGTTTTGGGATCTTGCAGCTTGGAAATATTTGGAAATTCACACTTTGCTGTAATTTTATGTTGATGGTTCAATGCGTGTTCGTTAGCAGTCTAGAGAGTTTTGGTTTAAAGGTTTAAGGGAGCTATTATTAGGCCTAATGGCTGTCATAAGGACCAGCAAGCTTCTTTTGGGTTGGTCAGGTGCCCGAAGTGTAGGTTCCAAGCAGTCTGTCTCCATCTAAATACTTTTCTGTCTCCATATTATCTTACAGCAAAAGTGCACAACGCATGGCATGTTACTGAATCATGCGCGTCCAAATCAGTACCTTTTGGGGTGTGTGTTCAAGGGATTCTGTCCGCACCAATGATCAATCTTTCCTCTTCAGAACTGGGGCAATTGCGGCTTTGGTTCGTCGAATGGGTGTTCAATCCACATGTAAGAATCTATATCAATGACAAGCACATCTATAGTACTGACAGTTACCTCAACATCATTGATAGCAACCTGGCAAAAAGCTCGATAATGTTATTCGTTCTTGCAAATCACAGGAAATGATCGATTTTTGATGTTTCTAGTGGAATAAACCATCTACCAACTGGAGATTTCTGTAATCCACAGTATGGCAAGGGTTGGTCCTACCGAAGACCTGGTTCTGGCAACCAGCTGGCTGGCTTCAGCTTCGGCTCAAGTTCTACTTCTGTAGACGAATGTGATGTGGACAGGCTGCACAAGACATGTGATGTGGAAGGCTGCACTAGTAAAAGCTATGTCTGAATTGTATTTCCGGTGCAGCACCGGTCCCGCCTATTTTAAGGGATTTTTCTCACTGCAATTGAGAGCATGGCTCAATTGCTTATGCGCAGTCGCTGTCCGATCGGGCTTGTGTATGGTTTGTTTGAATACATAGCACTTCTTTGGAATTTATGGTAATTAAGATCCTTAAGTCATTCGTAGTCGTTTTTCATTCACGATTTATGTATATCACATCGAATTTCTCCTTTAAATTTCTCCTGTGAATTATGCATTTTTTACGTACTTTTTACGCTTTGTACGCCCTTTTCTTCTCCTTTTTTCCTTTCCAATGAAAGTGTCAAGCTTTTTTTACGCATTTTTTACGTACTTTTACGCTTTTTACGCCTTTTCTTCTCCTTTTTTCCTTTCCAATGAAAGTGTCAAGCTTTTTTTACGCATTTTTTACGTACTTTTTACGCTTTTTACGCCCTTTTCTTCTCCTTTTTTCCTTTCCAATGAAAGTGTCAATCTTTTTTTACGCATTTTTTACGTACTTTTTACGTTTTTTATGCCCTTTCTTCTCCTTTTTTCCTTTCCAATGAAAGTGTCAAGCTTTTTTAACGCATTTTTTACGTACTTTTTTCGCTTTTTACGCCCTTTTCTTCTCCTTTTTTCCTTTCCAATGAAAGTGTCAAGCTTTTTTTACGCATTTTTTACGTACTTTTTACGCTTTTTACGCCCTTTTCTTCTCCTTTTTTCCTTTCCAATGAAAGTGTCAAGCTTTTTTTACGCATTTTTTACGTACTTTTTACGCTTTTTACGCCCTTTCTTCTCCTTTTTTCCTTTCCAATGAAAGTGTCAAGCTTTTTTTACGCATTTTTTACGTACTTTTTACGCTTTTTACGCCCTTTTCTTCTCCTTTTTTCCTTTCCAATGAAAGTGTCAAGCTTTTTTTACGCATTTTTTACGTACTTTTTACGCTTTTTACGCCCTTTCTTCTCCTTTTTTCCTTTCCAATGAAAGTGTCAAGCTTTTTTTACAAGCATTTTTTACGTACTTTTTACGCTTTTTACGCCCTTTTCTTCTCCTTTTTTCCTTTCCAATGAAAGTGTCAAGCTTTTTTTACGCATTTTTTACGTACTTTTTACGCTTTTTACGCCCTTTCTTCTCCTTTTTTCCTTTCCAATGAAAGTGTCAAGCTTTTTTTACGCATTTTTTACGTACTTTTTACGCTTTTTACGCCCTTTTCTTCTCCTTTTTTCCTTTCCAATGAAAGTGTCAAGCTTTTTTTTAACGCATTTTTTACGTACTTTTTACGCTTTTTACGCCCTTTTCTTCTTTTTCCTTTCCAATGAAAGTGTCAAGCTTTTTTTACGCATTTTTTACGTACTTTTTACGCTTTTTACGCCTTT